GGTCCGTGCCCCGCTTACGGGTTCACTCCGAGCCTGATTGTCAAGGTGCGCCAGCGTCATATCAATACAAGATCACCATTCTCAGGTAGGGCCCGCGTTGGTTCGTGTTCATCAATTCATTAACATGCCATACCGTGCCCTCGTGATACCTCTGGGGAGAGGGATAAAAAAAGAAAACCATCCAAGACCAGCATTAGACCCCTCCAACAGTAAGTACAGCCCATTGATCAGCATGGAAAAAGTTTGAAACAAGAATCTTCGTGTGCCTCTTTTTTCTGTCTCCTCTCTCTCCGTGCCTTTCGATTTTCGTGGAAAAGGGACGAGAGTGTAACGGCAATGGACCGAGACGCTGGGAAACTCCAACGCAAGGAAAAAGGGAAATACGCCTCTTGAAAATGGACATTGCTGTTCTCGTTGCTGTTTCGCACATCGCGAGACGGGGGAGAAAAGAAAGGGCAGACACTGGCAGCTCACGAGAACGTGTCCGCTACGTGATCCAACTAGGACAGCCAGGCGTCCCGGTCCTTCTGCTGCGGCGTCGGCAGACCAAAGTCAAGCTTGGGCATCTCGATGCGGGGCGCGGCATCTTTTCCGGGCACGGGCGACGCCGCAGAGGCTGAGGCAACGGGCTTCTTCCTGGGGCTCCGCGGCTCGGGCGGCGGTCCGTACCGTACATCGCGGACGTCCCAGCCGTCTTCGGCGGCGGCGGCGACCCAGGTGCGCAGGGCCTCGTGGACGCAGCCGTAGAACTTTTCCTTGCAGAGGCGCAGACTGCCGCCGAGACAGCGCTCCCAGCCCGAGATGCGCATGCCGTGACGGATAGCGTTGCGCTGGGCCACGGTGGGCGTGCAGGCAAGGATGGCGTTGACGAGATCAAGATGGGAAGCGAGGTAGTTGGTCGCGTCCCACTCGACACCACCAACGTAGGGAGCCGCGGGCACGGGAGGTCGTTCCTGCGGGAAGTGCTTGTGCATGTATGCGTAGGGTAGGTGGTCAGAGTGACCGGGGCCGGCTGAGAGAGGCATGTCAAGCTGAGCACCACCCTTGCTGGACATGTCGGCGGGCAGGGCGACGACGTTGAGGTTGTGGAGGAAGATCCAGAAGACCTCCTTTGTCACGCTGACGGTCTCCTTGTTCCAGACGGTATAGGGGCGCTCCTTGCGCATCTCGAGAACGAAGGGGACGGGCCGCTCATCCTCCTTGCCCTCCTGGTTGCGGAGGTAGGAGAGCATGGCCTTGGCGCGGATGACGCGTTCCTGGGGCGATGCTGACTCGATATAGGTGAAGAGGACCGAGGTGATGATGTTGCGGGTGGTGAATTCGCTGGGGCCCTTCTTCTCGGGATCGAAGATCATGTGAATCAGCTTGGGGAAAATTTCTGTGTGGATCGAGTCGAGATACTGCAAGGCGAGGGCGGTGGTGCAGAGTGCCTTGAGGCAGAGGAGGTTCTCATGAAGAAGTGCGTCCTCGTGCTCTTCCCTGTTTGAGTGGTTAGCAACAACAATCTTTGCACAAGGTCGATGCCGGCACGTACCTCCATTCCACCTCCAGGATGCGGTTCAGGAGATCGACAATCTCCTTCATACCACCCTGCTTCATGAACTCTTCGGTCCACGACACCGTCTCGTTCCGCAGCAGCAAGCGCAACTTGTGCAGCTTGCCGACCTCGACCAGCTCAGGCTTCTGCACCTTGCGGAGATACGACACAAAGTCACCTGGCCCCTGACCGAGCTTGATCTTGGCGAGGATCCCGCTGCCAGCTGACGGGTTGGCCGCTGTCACGGGCCTCTCGCCGACAAGGCTCTCGGTGGACTTTGTCCGAAAGTGTCTGCTCAGCGTTCCCTCGCCCTTGGACTTCTTCGTCGGCGACTTGGCGTCCTTCTTCGCGCGCCCCAGCGTGAAGCTCCGCCCGCGCGTCCGCTTGGGGTGGCTCTCCTCGGTATCCGTGCCGACGGCGACGGCCGAGGAGGAGCCCGCGTCGACGCTCGTCGTGCTCTCGTTTCCGTTGCCGGTTTGCTGCTGCTCCGCCTTGGCCGCCATCTCGGCCCAGTCCTGGCGGATAAACTCCATCTTGATTGTGTCGTTGAGATTCCGCATCTTGAACCGCTGGTTCTCGGGGATGTTGCGCCGGTCGAGCATGGCCTCGAGGTGGGCGTTGATGTCCTTGGGGTCGATGGCGGCATCGGCCGGGTTGCTCTCTGGTGCCTGCTTGTCGGTCCTGTGGCCCGAGGCCGAGAAGGCCGTGAAGATCTTGGGACGCTGCGCTTTGCTCGTGATGCGCTCCGACGAGGCGGGCTTGCGGCTATCGTGATGAGGCCTGTGGCTCGTGGTAGGAAGGAGACCCGCATCATCGCGGACGCGGGATTCGGGCTTGGAAGAGGTGTAGGGCTGGTAGGACTTGGGGCGTTCCTTGCCAAGAGGTCCTGGCGAGGGGTGGAGGCTATTCTCTGTCGATCTGCTGCCGTGGGCACTGCCCATGTCGAAGGAGGTCTTGCCGTCCAGATGGCGATTGTGTTGTTGTTGTTGTTGCTGCTGCTGCTGCTGCTGTTGCCCGAGGTCTTGGCTCGAGAACTGAGCGAAAATGGGGGGTGGGGGTCCGATGAGATCGACTGCTGAGGTCGAGGCTGGTGGTGTTCTGTTCTCCTTGTTACCTGCTTCGCGGCGCTCGTCCTCCTTTGCCTGCCTGCTCAGGCCCTTGGATGACTTGGGCCGTGACAGCAGACCCGCGAGGTTTGTGGATGATTTTGTCTTTTTCGGCTTTTCCGGCGACGGCTCGCGCGATTTGGGTGGTCGAGAGGACTCCTTGATGCGGGCAAAGGTGCTGAACGCTGATTTGGTGGGTGACCGTCCGCGGTCGTCGCTGTTTTGCCGTTCATCTCGTGTCTTTCGTGGAGAGCGGGGTCCCGTGGTATCCTGCTGATTCTGTTGCAGCTCGCCGAGGGCGCCGCCCATGTGCCTTGCGAGTCCCATGACCGGTGGGCTCTCCAAGGATTCGATCTGGGGTGCCGTGCTTGCTGTCGTCGTGTTGATGGCGAGGCCGGAGGGGAGGTTGCTGCCGCCGGACTGGTTCCGCCTGTGCATGAAGGATTTAAGGACAGAAGATTTGGACCGCTGGTGTCCGACACTGCTCTCCTGACGCGGAACACCGTGGAGATCGTCGTGCGAAGTTGCCATGGCCACCAGGAGGAGAGACGTTTGTGGGGACACGGGGTACTGGAAACAAGAAAGTCGTAAGGTGCAATGGCTAAGCTGAAACGGTCCAGGAATGCTGTCCTATTCGAATGCGTCGTTCAAAGATGCCAGGCGAGTCATACTACCATTGTTTCGCTCGCAGGGGAAAGAAGGCGGGCTGGAAGCTGCGTGGGAGGCGAGCGATGCTGAGGGTGTTGGAATGAATTGGAGGTTCAGGCCGGGAGGATAAGGCCTGCGGAGTATCTCGATCGGTGTGGGGATGTTTATTCTGGCGCTGTTGCCACGACGACATCCACCCGCTTATCTTATCGCAGGTTCGCGCTTGGACCACCAATTCATCAACGTCAATGCTGGAAGGGCTCATCGGCTTACTCATCCTCCGCGATTCGAGGTCGCCCTTTTAGCACATATTCTTCCCGCTCTTGTACCTCTCGATTTGCAGTGGCTGGTGTTGTCATAGTCGTCGTTCAAGGTGACAGAGTGGACATGTCCACTCATGCAACCTTGGTACTGATTGGCAGATATATGGCCAAGACCAACCCATCTGTAGCTACCTCACCTACCAGTCTAGGTGAGACTGACACAGCTACTCGAATACGTTCATGCCTGAACCCAATACCGACAACCTGGGTAGCTGGCTTTTTTCGTCTTGAGACATGGACACAGAGTGGGACGGTAGGCTTGCATCCCATGTGTTCTATTGTTTTCGTGGCGTTCATTCCGGACGGCCGTCTTCTCCCTGTCGTCACTCTGCTTCTTCCACAAGTACCCACTCAATATGCTTCTTGAGGACGTCCAGGTTCATCCTCGATGTTTTGCTGTGTGCTTTAACTCGACTTTCGGGTTGAGCGAACTTATGACCGACAGACTTCTCTTGCAGTACCCATTCCATGTCGAACCGCCCTGACTACGACAGTGACATGGATCATCGCACTGCTCAGGGTCGAATGCAACTACGACGATGGTCCGTAAGCTGCTAGATTGCTGGTCACATGTACAATCCTCACCTCGTTTCGCCAATGGAGCAGACGTAGTTCCTAGTATCGCTGCAGAACAATCTACGCCAGCGCTTGCATTCATATTTAGAGGCCATGCACAAATTTCTCGTCCCGTTTGTCCCACACCTTCGCGTGCCTGATGGCTTCGTCTTTTCTTCAGGTGTTGATCTCAGTGTCTGTCTGTCTTGACATCGTCCTACGGTTGAAAACGGTTCGAAGCGACACCGGCGTTGGCCCGCTGCGTCCGATCAGCGGAGCATGGCAAATTGTCCAAGAGTGCAGGCAACTTTTGGTAGCGTCAACCGTGAACCTTGACCTCGAAACTCAACTTGCAGCCGGCAGCATGACGAACGACATGACCACGCGCCAAACATGCTTGGTCAAGCATTTGTCAGTGCACCCGAAATTCCACGCGACTTCGGCGCTCTCGGAGATGATCAGATAAGATAGAGCAGGGGCCGGGGGATCTGATTGTCCCGCACTGAAGCGCCGCCAAGCCGCTTCCGTCAGGTTACGAGCTGCCAAGACCATTCTGCTGGGACGAGCGACCCTTGACGAACCCTGGAAGGAAGCGCCACGAGTCGCGAGCTCTGTCCCCTCACGCCCTGGCAGTTGTCGGTGGCGCATGTCGGTAGTTCGGGTGAATGGGGAGGGGCAGAGATTTAAGAATCGGACCATGTGCAGTCGCAGGGCGTACATTTCAGGACTCTCCCCAAGTTCTTACTTTTGGTTGACCGCCAAAGCTGCGTCCAAGGCACCTTGAAAGCCACCCGACGAAGTACTCGTCCTCCGTTTCCGCTCGTCTACATCATGGCCGCCTCAGCCGACCAGGTCACGGCAGTGCCGAACAAGCGTGAGGATGCCATCGAACGGAACAAGGGTAACATTGACCAGCAAGATGGACTTGTGCCCGAGGATCCTTCAAAGGAGCAGGAAGCGGAACAACCCATGGCTGTTCCAACGGAGGCTATGCGCAAGATCTGGAGTATAAGGCCTCTGGTCGCAGTCTTCGTTGGGTGAGTACATCAAGGCATACCCCGACAGCCGAACCGCGAAAGCCCCCGGCAATGAAACACTAATGGGACCCAGATTGTTCATCATGAACTTCAGCATGATCTTTGCTGCTTCGTCTGCCGGCGTCTACGACCCCTATGTCACAAGTCATTTCGAAGGCCACTCGCTCATCGCCACGGCTAACATTATCCACGGAATTGTGCGCATTGTGGGATATCCGCTTCTCGCAAAGGTCGCCGATGTGAGTGCAATTTCCAACACTGAGTCCAGGAGGAGCATGTGACAGTTACTGATCGCCTTGCGTCTCACAGCACATTGGTCGTCCTCAGGGCTTCGCCGGCTCCGCCATCAGCATGGCACTGGCAAATGTACTCTATGCTGCCTGCCACAACGTGGAAACCTATCTGGTAAATTTCGCACATTTATTTAAATATCCAGCTCATGAGGATTATGTACTGACTGTGAGCCTGCGCAGTCCGGTGGTGTCTTCGAATCATTCGGTGACACATGGTGGACCATCACGGAGCAAATCTTCATTGCCGATGTGACTTCTCTTGTCAACAGAGGCTTCCTCTTTACCCTGCCGCAGTCGCTCGCTGCTATCCCTACCCTGTACGCTGGGACCTACCTCGGAGAGCACATGCTCCTGAACTCGACTTGGCGCTGGGGTTTCGGTATGTGGGCTGTGATCATTCCCTTCTGCGCCCTGCCTACCATCGCCATCATGCTCTTCATGGAGCACCGCGGCCGCAAGAAGGGTATCAAGTGGCAAAGGCTGCCGCTGCGGGCTTCTTCTGGAGCTCCCCAGGGATCGTCTTTCCTGACCCAGCTCTACTACGTTGTGTGGGTGCGCCTCGACATTATGGGAGCGTTCCTGCTGCTGGCCGGTCTGTCAATGACCCTCCTTCCGCTGTCCATCACGGGAAGGAGAAACACAGAGCGCTGGACCGAAGCTTCTTCGATCGTTCTCATTATCATGGGTGTGCTCACCTTTGTGGCCTTCCTCGTGTGGGATGGACGATTTGCGAAGAACCCCATTGTGCCGTTCCGCATGATCAAGAACCGGAACGTTCTCCTGGCGTGCGTGTCGGTCTGCTTGATCGCCATGTCAGACTCGACCTATCGTGCTTTCGGGCCGAGCTTCCTCCAAGTGGCTGGCGGCTACTCGCCGGGACATGCTGTTCGTATCGAGTAAGTCGTCCATCGAGGGCCTTGTCGTCCAATACTGATCCTCCCTCCCAGCAACGCTCGAAGGGTAGCCCTCAACCTCGGTGGACTCGTCATTGGTATCGCCATCCGCTTCGTCAAGCACACCAAGCCCTTCATCATCATTGGCTGTGTCATGGTCGCCCTCGCGAACGGACTTCCGATCTACTTCACCAACATTGACGGGACCCGTGTCGCCAACGAAGCCGCTCTGACGACTAGTCAGGTCCTGCTAGGTCTGGGCCGCGGCTTTGCCCAGATCCCTCTGCAGGTGTCCTTGCAAGCCGTCGTGCCGGACCACGAGGTTGGCATTGCCACTGCGCTCTTCCTCTCCTCTTCAGGCTTTGGTGCCAACGTTGGCAACAGGTAGGGCAGGATCGCACCCCATACCCGCACATTGACTGATATGCGTGCATCACAGTGTCAGCGGAGCCATCTGGAACACGATTCTCCCCCGCCGTCTCCTGGAGCATCTCCCAGAAGCAGCCAAGGAGAACAGCCGCGCCATCTTCCGCTCCATCGTTGCCGCCCAAAGCTTTGCGATCGGCACGCCTGAGAGGAGCGCCATTAATCTGAGCTACCGCCAGACGCAGCAGACACTGGCTATCGCGTCGCTGTCAATCTCGATTCCCCTCCTCCTCATCATGCTCCTCATCCGGAACGTGGACTTTGTTGCCGAGGAGAAGAAGAAGGCGCAGCTGGCCGAGGAGCAGGCCGCCGCCGCTCTTGCGGAAGAGGCCGCCAGGGAGGATTCTGAGAACAGGAACGTCTCGGGGCAAGATGCCAGCGACCCGGAGAAGCGCGTTGGGCGGTAAAACCGGCGCGCTGTTGCAGTTGGGGTGAAAACTTGACACATCCAATTTTTCTATCTGATGACTGAGATTTGGGAAGATCAGTATCCTTCAAGTATTCATCGTATTGATTAGGCCGACGTGCGAAGAAATCCCACACGCCGAGTCTACATCTAACAGACGGGCCGTAGCTGTCCTGCATTTCTTCTGGATCAAGTCACCCTGACAGTGCTCGTGAGAAATAGCAACAATAGCTCCCCCATCCGGAACCCCGGGTCTGAAGGATGCAGTCATATATCTAGCAAAGAAGAGATAGATCATTCATCCTGGGGTTGCTTGCTCAAATTATTGAACCGTTCCATTTGCTCGTCAAAGTTTAGTTCGGGATAGTCCAGCTCGTTTAACACGCGGCGGTCCATGTACTGCTGCATTCGCAGCCGCGGCTTCTGGGGCGGTGCCCTCTCCCAAATATCTCTGTACACCTTATGGACCGGAATGGCGTCGCCTTGATCGATCCGCGTTCTGTTATCGGAAGAGGGTAGAATCGGAAGTGGTCCGTTGGTCCTTTCCTTTCTTTCCTCCGGATGCTTTTCCCTCGAACGAAGGAATTCGATCAGCCGGCTTTGCTGATCGTCGAGGAGTTGGCAGATCCGATATGTGATCCTGTCTCTCCCACAATGAATATAAGCATTCGGCTCTATGTTTTGATCATGCCACGACGAGGAGTGGTCGAAAAGGATGACGCCTCCAAGGATTCGGTCCTCGGCCCAGTATCCCACCATGTCTGCGATGCCGTCTGGATACTGCTCGTGGGCAACGAAGTGCGACTGCGTGAACAATGTGGGATGAGGGACTACGCGGGCCCACATATCAGGTGGACGCTCCCATGATGTGACCTCATCTACGTCAAGAGTATCCGTGGTTGTGCGATCATGCAAGCGTAGGTTGCGCTGGAACAAGAGGACGGCGATCTGATGAATCGCCGAGGCCGTAAGCTCGAGGAGGCGAAGGGCGAAGCCGCGACTCGACGTTGACGACGATTGAAAAGACTGCAGCAGCTGTGACCCGTTAGTTGCTGGCCAGAGATGAGAAGGAAAAAACGTCATTCACCTCGGGCTTGAAGACAAGTGCTTCTGACTTGAAATCACCTCGAAACTCTTCAGCCTTTGCTCTCGCCTCCGGACAGAGCTCGTTGTGAGAGTTGATGGGGTGTTGTGGCGTCAGCTTGGTCCCTCGAGTGTCCCATGCTATGTCACAGATAGGTAGGCCGTCAATGATCTGGGCAAAGGTGACCAATGCTGCGTCGGTAGCCAGAACGTTGCTTAGGGCCTGTGACACGGCATGGCGGTGCTGACTGTCAAGCCTTTCCACGTTTAAATAATGACTTGAAGGCATTTTTGAGACTGAATGGAAAGATTCAATGTATTAGGTGGGAACAACGGGAGGCTCTCATCTCTTTTGTTTCAAGCTTAACCGCTTGACCTGGACATGGAGGGGGTGGGGAGGTTGATTTTGGACCAACCAACCAATCATGTGCGGAACGCGACAGGATCAGGGTTCGGAGATGCTTCTCGACCGCCAGAGGGCTACATGAGGACTTTTATTTTATCTTGCCTGGCGCTCAACTTTGCGATTTGATATGGGCTGGCAGATACGACAATCGAGAGAACTCGCGTGTGGCACTTGGCAAGCCGTGTCCCATCGTTCTCTTGCAACTGTGAAAACATCATCCGCTAAGCTCGAGATGAATGAAAGTGAAAGGCTTTGTTAATAGCCAGTTTTTAATAACCTTTTTCGAACCGTTCCAGCTAAAATTATTGTACTTGGCAATGCAGTCAAGTTTCGATCGCCCTATCCGATCCGCTTAGCTCAAGTCGCACACATCGGTCTGCTCAGGCGACGAGGTCGCCCATCTTACTCACCGCAGACCCGAGCCTCCATAAAAAAAGCATCATGTAGCTGGTTTGTCGGCTTTTGAGTATCATTGTCATGAACATAGTTGTCAATTTGGTTAGGAACATGAGTTTAAGTCGATTTGCACTGTTTTGCAATCCGGTCTCGTCCTTGGATACGCTTGACTATGAAACCAACGCTGAATAGGAATTCCTCCGACTTCTAGTAATCGCGATGGCTCCGAGGCCTGCTTCCAGTAAACTCATGCTACGTCTTCAGACACATCTCCGAAATCACATGGGCCACAGCCATTTTTCACTACGATAAACCGGTACCCTCCTCTTTGTTACTACAATTAGTTGTCAAGCTAGAGTCATCGCTGCCCCGAAACAGTCTTTGATTGTCCCATCATCAACGTCTCTTCTTCATGACCAAGTCATCTTAGTTACACTTTCGAGCCGTTCTACACTCCCGGACGTGTCGTGGTTGGTTCCGTTGAACCAGATGGAATCTCGCGACTTCAAACTGGAGGAAAATCATCGGATCGCTTTGGGGTACTCCCTAGCTTGGTTTGCCGAAGTCCACTATGTATAGGGTATTAGTCACCGCTGCTTCTTGCGGCTTGTCCGACATTCAGTCTGAAACTACAACATCAGGTCCCTCCAGCCCATGTAGCAGTATTCAACCCCGGTTTCAATTATGAAGAAAAGCCAACTTGCCTACCAGTGCCGCCCCATGAGACGGAGAATCCTGCGACTTCAGAATGCCTGGATAGGCGAATGCTACGAGCGCCGGAGCTTTGAATGGCGCAGGAGCTAAACAGGTAGCTCCCGTCCGGCATTGGGCCAGTCGGTTCACAGAAAATACCCGACTTTAAAATTGCAGCAAGCCCATCTCGTGAGAGGCGCACCGTTGGCTGCAAGATCACGCCACCCGATTGACACAGTCCAACTGCAATTGAATGGGTGAATGTAATGTGGACAGGATCAGCTTGTGGTGTGTCATTGTCATTGTCTCCTCTTGCACTACGACAGCCCCCTTTTTCACTTAATGTCATTTTCCAGGAGGCCAAGAGGTGCACACGACGCTCAATTGACCTATTACCTCACTTCTTCTACTCGGGGGCGGCATGGACGTACAGCACAAGACTAACCCGGACTGCACAACGCGGCTTCAAGGCCTCAAGGGCTCGCAACCTACCTACGTACCTCTCTGACTGGTCAGCTCATGCAAGCGGACGATCGGCAGGAATCGCGCGCCCACATGGAAGGGCCGAACTAGGTGCATGGCAACATAACCGCTCAAGCACAACAGGCAATGGGCAGCAAACGCCCCATGCAAGGCCGTTGAGGCTCCAACGGCACGACCCAGAACGCGAAGAGGCGTCGCTCGGAGCTCGGGCATTTGCAGTGGGTAAACAGGGCGATGCAGTCATCGTCACTACATTGATGCCAGGGGAGGGGAGGGGGTCCCCTGGTTCAAGGATGAGGTGCATTGGCGTGCCGGTCTGGCTGGACTTCCACCCCCCCCTCGTTCGGCCCTTTCCAGGATCTGGCCCACCTCCGCATTTTACTCCGCCGTCTCGACCATGAGTTCCGCCCTTGGCCGCGTTAGACTCCGCATTCTGGCTGCCCACGGGTGCCTCTGACGATGGGGAGGTCTGGCAGATCTTTCGCCCCCTCCCCGCGCCCGCCGGCCATGACAGCGGCCCTGAACTTCCTAATCTGGGGAAACTCTCCTTGCCCCCCCTTTCCGCCGCTCGCTGAAATACCGGCCGTATCTCGCTTCTACTACGGGGCTGGGCGTTTTCATATGAAGCTTGGGAGTGCAAGTGGAAGCCACCCGCGAGGCTTGAAAGGCCCCGGAGACGTCCCCCATGGGAGGTGAGAGGGGAAGGCGGGGAGGGGACAAGGGGATCCAGGATGGAGATGGCTGGCAACGTGCTGCTCGTGCATGACGTCGTGGTTGCTACCTTGGCCTGGTTCGCCGTGCCCTCTACTAGGCCGGACCTTTTGCCCAGGTACCACACTGGCGATGGGTTGCAGACGTTCGGCGCGTTGCATCGCGCGCTGCATCGTGGGATCCTCCTCTAACCCGTACGTTGTCCTACCCTGCCTCGCTAGCTAGCCAAGCCCCCGGCTCGGCCGCTCTCATCCTGAATCTCTTGCAGATCCCTCTGCATTGGTAGGCAGGCAAGGCAGCACACATTGCTCGGAATGCGGTGCCCAGACAGCTGGGTCGGGCCAAGAGGGTGCTGTATAAATTGAAGTGGCTTCCCCCGCGATCTGAATTCATGCTGCAACCCCGACCAGTCACTTCAAGATGCATTACTGGAAGACCCTGCTCGTTCCCGGTGTGGCCGCGGCGGCCGTGCTCAAGAGGGACTCCCCAGACTACGACAAGCTTGCCGATTGTCCCGGCTATGCTGCCTCGAACGTCAAGACGACCGGCAACGGTCTGACTGCCGAGCTGAAGCTCGCTGGCCCGGCCTGCAACACGTACGGCACCGACCTCGAGGAGCTTACTCTGTCGGTTACCTACGAGAGCGGTGCGTTTGATCCTGCTCTTTCACTTCACATGACCATGGCTGACTTCGTGACCAGAGTCCCGTATCCACGTGAAGATCCAGGACCCGGCGGACCAGGTTTACCAGGTCCCCGAGTCTGTCTTCCCCCGGCCCGACGAAGGCTCCTTCTCCGGTGACGCCAAGATCAAGTTTGACTACACCGAGGAGCCCTTTGCCTTCACCATCAAGAGGGCCGATACGGAGGAGGTTCTCTTCGACACCTCGGCCGCCTCCATCGTCTTCGAGTCGCAGTACCTCCGCCTGAGGACGAGCCTGCCCGAGGACCCTTACCTCTACGGCCTCGGCGAGCACACCGACCCCTTCCGCCTCAACACGACCAACTACATCCGCACGCTGTGGAACCGTGACAGCTATGGTGTTCCGTACGGCAGCAACCTGTACGGCAGCCACCCCTTCTACATCGAGCAGCGCGAGACGGGCACCCACGGCGTCTTCCTCCTCAACTCGAACGGCATGGACGTCATGGTCAACAAGGACGACGCCGGCCAGTACCTCGAGTACAACACGCTCGGTGGCGTGCTCGACTTCTGGTTCCTATCCGGCCCCTCGCCCGTCGACGTCGTCAAGCAGTACTCGGACATCGTCGGGCTGCCCTCGCTCCAGCCCTACTGGGGTCTCGGCTTCCACCAGTGCCGCTACGGCTACCGCGACGCCTTTGACGTCGCCGAGGTCGTCTACAACTACAGCCAGGCCGGCATCCCCCTCGAGACCATGTGGACCGACATTGACTACATGGACGCCCGCAAGGTCTTCACCCTCGACCCCCGCCGCTACCCCGTCGAGAAGGTCCGCCAGATCGTCGACTACCTCCACGAGCACGACCAGCACTACATTGTCATGGTTGACCCGGCCGTCGCCTACGAGGAGTCGGACATTGTCAACCGCGGTCGCCAGGACGACATTTGGCTGCAGCACCCCAACGGCTCCGAGTACCTCGGCGTCGTCTGGCCCGGCGTCACCATCTTCCCCGATTGGTTTGCCGAGAACATCACCAAGTACTGGAACAACGAGTTTGACATCTTCTTCGACAAGGACACGGGTGTCGACATTGACGGTCTGTGGATCGACATGAACGAGCCCGCCAACTTCTGCAACGGTCTCTGCGATGACCCCTTTGGCGACGCCGTCGGCTACCCGCCCGAGCCCCCCGCCGTCCGCGAGAACCCCCGCGCCCTGCCCGGCTTTGGCTGTGAGTTCCAGCTCCCCGGTGCCTGCGACGGCAGCGCCGAGCGCCGCCAGATCGAGGCTCACCCCGCCCGCCCCCGTGCCGCCGGCGCCGAGACGTCTTCGCTCGACGTCCGCCAGACCGGCTCGGGCGACCGCAAGGGTCTCCCCGACCGCGACCTCCTGTACCCCAAGTACGCGATCCACAACGACGCGGCGGGGCCCGACGTGTCGTGGAACGCGGACCGCGGCGGCCTCTCGTTCAAGACGGTCAAGACGGACATTGCGCACCAGAACGGTCTCGTCATGTACGACACGCACAACCTCTACGGCGCCATGATGGGCAAGGCGTCGCGCGACGCCATGATGGCGCGCCGCGAGGGCCTGCGGCCCTTCATCATCACGCGCAGCACGTTCCCCGGCGACGGCAAGGCCGTGGGCCACTGGCTCGGTGACAACCTTTCGCAGTGGGACCACTACCGGTTCGCCATCTACACGACCATGACCTTCTCGGCGCTGTACCAGTTCCCCATGGCCGGCTCGGACGTGTGCGGCTTCGGCGGCGATGCCACCGAGCAGCTCTGCGCGCGCTGGGCCTCGCTCGGCGCCTTCTTCACCTTCTACCGCAACCACAACGGCATCGACTCCATCTCGCAGGAGTTCTACCGCTGGCCCGCCGTCGCCGAGTCGGCCCGCAAGGCCATCGACATCCGCTACCGCCTGCTCGACTACATCTACACGGCCATCTACAAGGCCACCGTCGACGGCAGCCCGACGCTGAACCCCATGTACTTTGTCTACCCCGAGGACCGCGCCACCTGGGCCCTGCAGCACCAGTTCTTCTACGGCGACGCCGTCCTCGTCGCCCCCGTCACCGAGCAGGATGCCACGAGCGTCGACGTCTACCTGCCCAAGGACACCTTCTACGACTGGTACACCCACCGTCCCATCCGCGGCAAGGGCGCCCTGCACACCTTTGAGGACCAGGACGTCACCGACATTCCGCTGCTCATCCGCTCCGGCAAGATCCTGCCGCTGCGCGTCGCCTCGGCCAACACGACGACGGCGCTGCGCCAGAACGACTTTGAGCTGCTCGTCACCCTCGACGTTGACGGCAAGGCCAGCGGCGAGCTGTACCTCGACGACGGCGTGTCGCTCGTCCAGCAGGGCCACACCCTCATCGACTTCACCTTTGAAAACGGCGTGCTCTCCCTCGACGGCACCTTCGGCTACGAGGTCGACGTCAAGATTGTCAAGGTCAAGGTCCTCGGCGCCTCGTGCCGCACCGGTGCTGGCAAGGAGGGCCGCGGCAGCAAGACTGTCAAGGTTGACCTGTCGCTGAACAAGGCGGGCTCCGTCAAGGTGTGGTGAACATGAACAGATGCGAACCTTTGTTGTCTTGATAAGGCCAGAGCTTGGATACGACTTATGAGATGCACCCAGATTTCGATTCTGATGTGAGGTTGGGGTAACCGATTTGCTGTGGAATAAAAAGCCTCAAGAATTGAATACCATTCCCTAAAACAAAGTTTCATGACGTTCGTGCCTTGGTATCTCGACCGCAATAATAACCCTGCCTTGCATAGTATTAGATGCTTCGCGCCTGGAGAACTATAGTCACCAGCCGTGGGCCAAGGATAAACCCATCAAGTGCTTTTTGTATGATCTTGCAAAATAACCTCAAAGAGTGAGATTGCGTAATGTTTACCAGGAAACATGGCACCGCCGCCAGCAGTAGTACCCTTCTCAATTCTCCTCATTGCTTGATATCTGGCTTTGTCTCCCTGCTGCCGCACTTTGTCGCGCACAGATAATGTCGAATCAAAAGGCCTCTTAGTCTCTTGAAAGTCTGTTGATCCCAAGTGCTCTGATCAGGAGATGACGACTAAGTAGGCCTCACTACGAACGACAGTCAAACCGGCGAAGAGCGCGCTCTCAGGCTTCAGCTGTGCGCCTGCGTTTTGAATACCGAAGAGCTCAATAATTGGTCGTGGAGGCAACTGCAGTGTCTGAATGCGGATGCTTCTCGGAAGAACTTGCATATCTTGAGAGCGAGGAATGATGCGGACTTTCAGTTCCACGAGGGGAGAAAGTAGGATCTCTCAGGTCGTGTACATTTGGAACCGCAGGTCTTCTTCAGGTCTTCTCCATTCAGATTGTCTGAGTAAGGTGCCAGAAACGCCACTAGCTGAGGTTAGCAAGCTACGAGAGCTGGGAGGCATGGGTCTCTGGTTCGTCCTTGGGGTCCTCGTGATCGAGAGTGTCCGATTTCTGCAGCATGGCTAGCAATATTTATTCTTCGAATGTCTCCTTTAGACCACCATCCACCGAAAAGGCCTTCCTTTGTTCTTCAGAACCGGTAGATGATCTGTCCTGTTTGTAAAGTCTTGCATCGGTGGAATCAGGAGGTCGATATATTCGCCCAGAACGACCGTCGCTCTGGTCGATGATCATGCTTCCAGGTACGCTGGGAAGCTTCTGGGTAAATGCATCCAGCAATAACATCCAGTGACGCTGTTTCTTGACGCCCCCGTTTTTTCAACCTCTTCAGGGAGTTTCCATAGAAAAATAGGAGAGCCTTTTCGTCTCGGCTTAGGGTCTTGGACAAGAGTGACGGAATTCTCTGGGTACTCGAGAAAATCGCTTCTCATGCATTCGCTGTGATTCATTGATTTGCGAGGCGCCCAGGATATCTTTCGGAACGTTTGATTTAAGAGGGAAGGGGTCCTCAGGATCTGAAGGAGCGTCAGTGACTGCACCAAAACGTGTGGTAAGGCGGGGTGTCCCTCGTTACGTCTCACAGTGCTCTTTGCACAACCAAGGCACACCTTGTTCTCCATGGCCAGGGGTGGAATTCCAGTAAAGGATGAGCATGGAAGCCTCGGGAAGTCGTTCAATTGCGGAAGGCCTTCCCGGAGAGGAGAGCGCCAGTACAGCTCAGCGTTAGATGGAGACCTCAAGATGGTATGAGAGAGGTCATCCAACCATGGGATGAACTACTTTTCAAGGTGGAATCGAGGTAGAACGTTTCTGGTGGGATGTTCCTTGCCTTGAGGTTGTCACAGAGGCTCTGGGCACGTGTATGAAGGCGCAGGGTTGAAAGTCCAATAAAAGGGGCGAATAGGCTGAGAAGAAGTGCCGCAGGCGTATAAACGCAGAATCAGCTCCCAAGCCAAACGCTTCAATGCCCAGCCAAACACCATGTCCCTGAGGAAGTAGTCATGAGAGGAGACGTGACAAGAGCAAGAGGCATGTACTTTAATCAGACTTGATTCAAAAGTACTCAATGTCAAACCTCTTTGCGCAGTCTCTGCGTCAATCCAGGTTCTGCGGGATGGGCTGCCACGATGTCACTTCTTCCAACGAGCAAAGTCAATAAATTAAGGTATGTCCGCTCCCTTCACTCCAAATGCCGCCGCAGGCTCATAATGTGTTGCTGTTGTTCCCAACTCATGCCCTTCCGATACCAGCCCTAACCCTTGCCCCTATTCAAGCCCCAACAACAGCCCGCTCCATCGCCCGAACCCCCTCAAACCAGACTGAAGCTCCCAGTGACGCCCTCAAAGGCGCGAACGCTGCCCAAGAGGCTCTTCGAGTTACCATAGTACCGAATCCGATATGTTCCCGCCGCAGCCGCCGAGCCGCCCTCCGCCGTCTCCCACCGGATCGTCACCTCGCTGTGACCCAGCAGCCAGTCGGTCCGCGCCCACTCATACACGAGAAACCAGTCGGCATCGTCCCGCACCTTGCTCCACGTTCCGTCCGCCGCGCGTCTCTCGACGGCGGCGTATGTGCCCTCGAGACGGAGGTTGTTCCGTGGGTTCGCGCCCTGGAACTTGACCACAACCTCCGACCCGCGGGTGTAGCTCGCCGAGGGGGCCGTGATGACGGCACCAAAAGCCCGTCCCGCGGGCGCGCCGTCCGTGACAACGCCCGTGTTGAAGTTGAGCGAGTTGGCGCGGTTGTCGGGCGGCGCGGGGCCTGCGGGCGGCAGCGTCGTGGCGCCGGGGGCGAGGTGCTGGAGGTTGGAGATGGTGAGGTTGATGTAGGCGTCGAGCGTGTAGCGGCCGTAGAAGGTTGAGGCGCCTTCGTAGCGCTGGACATCGTATTCTTCGCGGGTTGTGACATAGTGCTGCACCTGTTAGTCGGCGTCACATGAGGGGGAAATGATCTTGGTCAACAGGCGGGATAAAAAAAAGGGGGGGGCCAACGTACCGAGTACGTGTTTGCTGGACCGCCGAGCACAACGAGAGGACTTCCGCCCGTGATGCTACCCGAAGCCGCCGCTACGGCCTCTCTCCATCGCCTGCCAGCCATGGTCGTCGTCTCAGCACTGCCGACAACGAGGACAAGCTGCCCTACACGCAGAGTTTGAATATCGACAATGTTTGGGCTCCACGCGTACGGAGTGTTCACGCCACCGACGTCAAGCAAGATGGGCTTCGGCTCCTGGCACGCCTGTTGCTCAGCTGAAGGCGCCCGCAAAATGCCACCCACAACTCGCCACAAAGGATTCTCTCCCGTCGAGTCGCCCTGCGTGAAGTCAAAGGCGCCAGGACCATCGGTCGTGCCGGCGGCAAACGAGTAGCCAAGGGAGGCTGGGCACGTCTGTACCTCCTGACCCGAAGGTAGGCGGAACTTGGAGAAGGTCATGTTATGGAAGAAGTGGAAGGACTTGACAGTCGGGCCCGTGATGGGTGTTGATCTGGAGCCGAGCGCATCCTGGTCAAGTCAGCTTTTTCGTCTCGGACGTGGCACGAGCGCGATGGCAAGACAAACTCACAAAAATGGCCTTGGCGCCAACATACTGCCTCCTTCCAATCTCGTAAGCGCTCGAAACACCGAGATCCAGCTTTCTGAACTCGGGGCCCCGCCCACGGCATGACTGCGAGAGGCCGTCGGCACAAGTACTCGTCTCAAAGTCGCACTGCTGGCCCGACCCGTCATCGCACCAGGCGCCGAGAACATTGGGCGTCGTGTCGGCATGGTTCGCCTGGGCAAATCCAGCGACGAACCCGCCGCCAATCTCCTTCTCAAAAAGCCACGACGCGACGCCCTTGTTGTCGCCAGCCACCTTTGTATTGTTCTGCAGCATGGACGTCGGGTGCACGGCGAGCCAGTTGAGCACGCCGAGGGCCTTGTTGTCCGAGGCGCGGCGGAAACGCAGCAGCGTCATGGTCTTGTCTACATCTCCGGGGTAGCGCGCACGCTCAGAAGCCGGGTTCTGAAGGTAGGCCCAGGGGCTGCGGTTGATGGCGGCGTTGGGGACCTCTCCTGTACCAAAGTCGAGGTAACCCTAGGAAACGTCAGTCTTCCCATATATCCGACCAAGACGAGACAACTTGCCTCTGCTAAGGACTCGTGCGCCCTCTTGATGGACAGAACAGCACCATCGACGATGGCCTGATAGCTCTGTCTGTCGAATCCCAAGTTTGTAATCTGGGGCAGCAAGTAGTTGAAAAAGGCTCCCGGCCCAGCGTGGCTGTGAGAGCCCGTCACGGCAATGTTGTTCTTGTTGTACACGGCGTAAGCAGGGCCCAGCGCCGCGACGCCCTCGAGAATGCCCCTTCTTACAGCCGTGTCTCCCGTTTGCGTATCAAGAACAAGGTAGACGAACCTGTCAGCAGGCTTGGAGGCGTCGCCAACAATGAAGGCACGGCTGAACAGTCGCTGGCGCAGGCCGGTGCCCTTCTGGTCGAGGTCGGCGTAGCCGGCAAAGCCAATCTCAACGACAGGGCCCGTCATGTCGGCTTTTCCGACGCCGAGGAGGTACTTGGAGCCAGAAGCCTGGCGACGCTCATTGATGAAGTCATCACCAAGCGTGGCCGCCGTGGCGAAGCTCAAGAAGAAAGAAAGGAGGAGGGCATAAAGGGGCAGCCTTGACAACATGATGTTGTTGCTATAGCGAAGCTGCAAACCAAACATAACTTTTGATCAAGACCTTAGCAGTGCGGCGAGGCAAAAGCAGATGCTCAATCATCTGGAGAACCTCCAGGTCAAGAAAATTGTGCCCCTCACAACGACCCTTATATCCCCCTTTCAAGCCGCGGTGTCACAAGTCAGACTGTCAGGAACGCATCAAACGTGCTCCAATAGTGTCTCCTCCTGCCCACCACCTACGTAGGGGCAAGAGAAGGAAGCTTCGCTTCGAGAAGGCAAGTCACGACCCCTCCCCTCCCCTCCCTCAAGGTAGGTAGAAAACGCCATAGCTCCCAGAGGCGCCGCTTCAACAACCCAAGAGAACTCGGCCGATACTTCCTGATCGACAGTAGCGGACCTGCGCAAGAGAAGTACGACCACTAAGAGGAGAGCAACGCGCATCAAAGCACACAACGTCGACAAGGCTCCCGGGCCGAGTTAGGTCGCCATTCAACCCCCTCCAGTTCAGGTGTGCGCCCAAAGGCCGGGAGCTCGACGAACCGGAGACGATCCAGCATCCATCTACCGTCAACCGAGCAGGAGGGGCGCGGCGAAGGGGAGGGGAAGGGGGAGCCGGAGTGCTTCGAGTAACGAGTGTCGGATAAGAGTGTGGGTGCGAATGTGACCTATACAGGAAAAAGATGCTCTCGGAGAAGAAAGGCCAGAGACCAGGCCGGGCTGTCAAGACGCCAAAAACGGTCGTTGACTCCGGCGATCCCACCTTCGAACACGACGTAACCTCTGGATGTTTTTGTTGAAGTCCCCCCACCGAACGCCCACGCATCCAATGAAGCTGCCGCGCCGGCAGTGTGGCTGCTGGGCGGACATCACGCGCGACGTGCCCGCTCGAATGCGGGGGAGACCAGGGGGGGAAGACCCAAGGATGGACACAGGCATGAGATAGGTCAGGATGGAAAGAGAGAGAGAGAGGGTGCATTCAGAAGGTCATCCAGCGGCGCGCTATTGGATCGTCTGCCGGGGAGCTGTAGATTAGAAGGCCTCCATCGCAGATTCTATTCGATGCAGCGGGTGAGTTTCCAGGTTTTGCTAACAACCCTTACCCCCTCCTCTTATCCCCCCCCCTCCCTTGCCTTTCTAGATACTCCACCAAGTCCCATGTCCCGTAGTGCAGGCTGGCTTAGGGACTCAAAGTTGACGGCTAGCGTGATTGAAGCTGAATTGCTGTGCTGGATGTGGCTGCCGCACAACGCCCCCCCTGTCTGCTTCTACGCGATGCAGCTACCTGTTTGGGAACCGGCATTGGGGAGGGGTCAGTTCCAGTGGTTATATTGAAGATAGGAGGATCTTGTAGGTCGTATGACGTGTGGATCCTGCACGATGCCGGCATCTGGTCCAGGTTGGGAAAGTCTCGTGTGCGCTGGCTGGCTCGCGTGCGTGTGCCCGTGTGGTTGAGGGAGTGAAGCATACAGGCTTCAACGTCAAGGAAACCCGTCAGGGCCAAAGCGTCGGCCAAAAGTTGTCGAGATAAGACAGTGGCGCCCGTCACGCACGCCAAGGTACGGCTATTGCGCCTGGCAGACCCCCTGTCGATGAAACATTGATTCTGTCAAGCGTGGATGGGCGCCCTTCTCATCAGACAGAAGAAGAAATGTGCCCCCCTAAGTCTTCACTTGATAAGATTGAGAATTCCGGGACGGCAAAAGGCAGATTCGTCAACTTCAGGCGTGTGACTTTGGAATTACACAACTAGGTTGATCTAAAAGTACGGCACACATGGAAGCCAGATAGGTAGTCAAGCTAACACCAAAACAAGAGCGCCCTATCGCCTGTGCTGAAGCCGCACAGCCTGCTCTCTCTTCATATCCTCCTTTTGCCAGCACCTCGCCTTCCATCCATCGCGTCCCACTTCATACCCATCATGAGGAATAGATAAGGCGTTACCGTGAATGAGAACTGTATTTCTCACAGCCTGCACCTGCAAATGCCTGTTTCACCGCTGGCCCCGTTTTCTTTCCCCGAATCTCCCGACCTGAATCCATATCCCGGTCCAGCTTAAATATCATTTGAACGCCGGGTATTTCTGCCCAGCTTGCGCCATCCCACCCTATTCGACGCAATGAGACAAGCACACCGGAAAAACAACCAACAAAAAAAATACACAAGACGCCGCTAACAGACTGACGGGCGACTCGTCAGGAAGTGTACACCATTGTAATGATGATCATCGTGAGTCGCGATCAATAGGTACCAGCGCGAGACAAAGGGAAAATGTATGCGAAGCGCAGATCCGGCGCAAAGCTCAGCAACCGAGCTCCTCCTCGCACTCGCTCATGCTGCCGTACCCTGTGTCGGTCTCCATGCCCACAACGCTCCTCGTGATGCTAAGGCAGCGATCCACCATCTTGTGGCGAACGTCCTGATCCAACCCACACTGCTCGCCTGGCGTGCTGCCGATCCAGATGCGGAGGCTGCCAGCCAGGCGTTCGAGCGAGGTGCTGAATGCTTCGGCAGCCGAGGGATGCGTGTGGAGCTCCGTCATGAGTTTGAATAGTGCCGTGCATCCGAGGAGCGACATGCTCGCCGTGACGCTGGGTTGTGCGAGCTTCTCCACGAGTTGGGTGCTCTCGCGAGGGGCCGGTCCCGTCTTGAATCGTTGGAGATGGGCAATTGCCATGGCGCACCGCAGCGCCACTTGGACATCGGGCGTCTGAACTGCTGGCGAAGACGAATCTAGGATCGGAGACACGATGTCGTTAATCGGTGCCTGTACGACGCCGGGCTGGACAGTTTGAATGGCAGATGCAATGCTAGCGCCCCGCTTCTCGTCGACGAGGACGGCACGAGCGACGAGAGCTCGTGCCTGCGCGCCTGACGCGACGGGAGCTGCCTTGAGGGCATTGTCAAGGTGGCCCGACACGACCTCCTGAGACTCGGTCTCATCCTTGCCGGCACTCAAGCTGGCAGTCAAAGCCCGCTGGACTTCCTGACTGGACCACCAAGCCGCCACCGCATCCATGGGGGATCGCACGGCCTGATCGTCCACGACAGCATCCATACCCTCCGTCTGCTCGTTCGCGTTTTCGGTAGTCGGAAGATTCCATGCCAGGTTATAGGCTCGTCGAATGATGTGGCAATTCAAGACGTTGTCACACTCTTGTTCCAGCAGCGCAGCAAGATGTTCGGGAAGCTCGTCGTCGTTTGCTTGCTCCGAGACGCGTCGTTGTTGCGTAAGAATCCTGTTCAATTGCTTGGCCTCGTTCCAGCGGGACCTCGCCAGCTTTGTGGCAATAGTATTGTGAATACCCCGGGAGCCGAGGTCCCAGAGCAGAACCCGAATGTGGAGCGCCTTCAGCATGGATCGAAGAGGGGTATCAGGGAGTGTGCCGGATGCCAACAAGGTCAGCGTCAGCCGGCTCTTGTTTACTTCGACATCTCCACCGGCCAATTGCGCATCCAGAGCAATCGACCATGCCTTGACGCGGGCTGCTTCCTGTTCTTCGGTGAATCCAGTCAGTGCCTGGTAGCCGTGGACTCCGATCGTGTTTCGTAGGCTCAGCTTCATGGTTTTGAGAATAAGGGCAGCTGCCTCCAGGAAGAAATTGTGCTTTGGGACCCAGACTGTTTGGATCGCAGTGAGCCATGCCTGTCGTCGGACATGAATAGGCGATGCCAGCGAAGGAGCAGGTTCGAGCGAGCTACTCATTTGCTCCGCGCCCTTCTTCTGCTTCTTGTCTGAAGGGGCAAAGAGCGAAGGCATGAAAACGCTAAGGAAGATGCCGAAGAAAAGGAGGACTTTGAGGTGAGAGATAAAGTGCGCGGCGGGGACGACGTGACCAGCGACGTGGAAGTTGCTGGACTTCAAGGCGCCGAGAAGCTGCATCGGAACCGCGAACAGGCCGCGGCCTTCTGGCGTCTCGTTGCTTTGCTCCTCCGTACGCACAGCCTCGATAATCATCAGTCCAGCCAGGGAGCCGACCATCAACTTGCCGAAATAGGGTGCGTTGTTGCCCCATCGGGCGCCTTGCTGTGCTTGTTGCTGCTGCTGGATCTGTTGTTGGCGAAGCAGACCAGGGTTGCCACGGAACTGTTGCTGCGGCACCGGGTAAGGCTGACCGGCAGCCATCTGAGCGGCGATGATGCGCTTCATATCTTCGGGAACGGTCATCATGCCCTGGGGTGCGTCGCCGCGAGGTGTGCCCATGGGTGTGTTGATATATTGATCCTGAGGATACTGCATTGGCGTGGGTGGTTGTTGCATTGGGCTCATGGCACCAGTCATGGCACCAGCCATGAACAGTTTTTCGAAGGCTGCGATGCGCGCCTGCATCGCACCATTCTCATCCAGCAAGCGGTTATTTCGCTTCTCGAGATGGCGGATATATTCGGTAGCCTTGCTTAGCACCTAGAGTGAGGGTTAGATGGCGTTTCAGTGTCAGCGGCGTCGCCCAACATACCGTTGCCTTGTTCAACTTGTGAGCCGGTGTCAGGCCGTGCAGCTCTTCACGGTCTTCGGTCGTATCTTCGCCCCGCGCACTCTTCGACATGATGCGCAAACTGGGGACGCTGTCTCTCAACGCTGCGATTTTGTCGTTAAGGTTTGTCCGATAGCGCTTCTCAATCATGTTGTGGGCCGTCTTTTTGACAGGCTGGTTGCCATCTTCATCGAGCTCATCTTCATCATCCTCAGCGTCGGCCGACGACTTTCTCTTCCGACTGAGAGGCTTGCCAAATTGATCAGTGCCATCCGGGGACGAAAGAGCCCCCGCAGCAGCGGAACCGGGACTCGGCTCACTCTTGGGCGAGTTGTACTGAAGATGGGCGGGCATGGCGATGCTCCGTAGTTTCTCCTGTTGGGCAGGTGTCAGGAGGTTCAGCGTCTCGCCGCCTGGCGCGTTATATCGCTGAGGGGTACCCTGCCTGAGGGAGGGTTGTGCGGCGTTGTTGCTGTTGTTGATGGTGGGGTTGGGGTAGTATCCTGACGACGAAGGGTTGGACTGGTCGTAGGTAGCACTGGTGCCAGTCGAAGGCGAGGCCTGTTGCTGTTGCTGAGGTGCGGGTGCCACGTCCCAGGACGCGGTCTGGAAGAGAGGCACGGAGTCGGCGGCACTGCTCGCGGCAGCAAAGTTGAAGCTGTCGTACGACGGGGTGTCCTGGTAGGCCCAACTGGAGGAATCATACAGGAACTGATTGTCGGTATCGGCCTGGTTGCTGGTCGCGATGTTGGATTGGGATGGGTCGGTCTTCACACGCTGAGCGGCATTGTCGTCGATGAAGGGAGGCTGCGCACCGAGGTTGGAGTTACCAAAGCCATAAATGGCCCCAGAACCTTGGTCGGTCATGTTGCTGTGGGAAGGATATGCAACCATGGGCTGACCACTGGCATCCAGCGCGACGGGGTCGTGGCCCAGAGATCCGATGGCCACAGGAGTGGGCGGGCAGAGGCGGGCAGAGGAAGGCTTGTCAAGCGAGGCGAGGCGAGCTGCGAAAGCGAGTCGTACGAGGTTGGGCAGAGATCTAGTGGGCTGCGGTAGATGATTGGGATGAGTATAGGCTCAAGGCAGGGAGTCGCGGAAGATAATCGTATGACGGTCGGGACGATGCTGTAGGGGCCGGGGATTGGCAAATGGATGGAATGTGCTCGTTGAGCGTGACAGGCGTGGAATGGCAGAGGAGGAGGTGCAGAGGACAGGAGTCGGAAGAATCTGGGACGGATCGAAACCGGGGGGGCATCGTACGATGTTGAAGCGACATGGGCTCAGCTGCGCCAAGCCGCTCTGGTTAGCCAGTCGAACCTGCCCAAGCTCGGTCACCAAGTGGGGGGGGGAAGGCACCTACCTGCCTGTCGTCGCACAGGTCGCACCCGCCATACCCAATTTGCCATTTGGATAACGGATCTATGGGCCCACCTTAACCGTCTAACGGGGACCAAGCCGGCCGAACCACGGTACTTCCGGCCTGTTCCGGATGACTCAGCAGCCTACCATCCCTGATCCGTCTCCCTCAGTCCCGCTTCAGGACTGTCTCATCATGTCGATCTGTCCACCATGACGGTCATACCCGCCGAACAACTTTGACGGCTTTATATTCCTCTTTGTGCCGTTCGTTTGTTGAGGGTTCGCTCCAAATCCTACTGTCCTGAATCGACCGATTGTGTCAGACAAACCTTTGCGCCCCATGCTGTAATGGCCACGGTTTTGTTGGGTGCTGTGGCTTAGTACCAAACCATACACCTCGCTGGTCAGCAAGCCTTGATCAATCTGCATAGAAGCATAAGTGAGCGTGATGTTGAACATGGTTTTAAGATATTAGGACTGACACGCATTTAACGAAAAATCGAAGAGATGCATTCATCCAAGCAATCCCGGGCGTAGGATATTCGAGGATTGATCTTGCTACCCTTCAACCCACGTTCATGCCCTGCGCTTCATACAAGCAAACGCCGTTCTTTATTTCGACGCCTCTTTCGATCGAGACACGAAACTCAAGACATACATTCGTACTAACCGGTGCCCTCGTCGTGCTGCCATGGCAGACCAGAACATTGACAGTTACGTCAAGTGACAGCAGTCACTGTCTGTGTTTCGAATTCGATCTTCATTTAGTAGCATCTCATGAGCATCCTCAGATTCAATTATCGGTGTCTCCGTTCCTGTTGAACTTCCTTTACACCCATCAAGTTCGAGAATGCATGTATACGCTACCTTTAAAGTCAATATACTGATGACCCCGCCGCCGATAACGTGTGCACACCAACCAATACGGCTACGCCACCCGACTTGATTCAAGAAAGACGGTTTACCTGACAAGAGCCGTGAGGTGGAGCATTGTGTGTTTAATCGTAGAAAAACTTCTTTGCATCAGTCAATGCTCAATCCGGGTACAGGTAAAGCTGGAACTCTGGGCAACTTAAGACTGGTCAAAACTGTCGTAGGAAGTACCAAGCTGGCACAATCGGCATTTACCTCAGGCAAGGCATTTAAGGTAGGGAGCCAAAAGAGCCCAATCTCTGTGGGCTTATATGCCCATTGGGTCCCCCAACTACCACCCCTTTGGTCATCACATGACATCAGTTTGTCCAAGTTATCTACCGACTTGCATGGCTCGCGATTTCGATCGATCAAACTCAAAGTTCTACTTGCATGGTCGCTTCTTCTCAGCAGCCCTTCGACAGCAACAGACACTATTTACGCATATGGCTACCTTTACGTAGCCCGAGGCTTTGGGATGCACATCAGGCGCGCCAGCTCACACTGGGCTCTTCGAAACATTAGTTCTTCGACAACTCTTAGGAACCACAACGAGCCTGCCGCTCAGACTGTTCATCTTAAGAACCCAATCGGCAAGTTACAAAAGTCATCGATGAAGGATGTCTTGTTTGTAGGGCTCGATATCGATACGTTTCAAGGGTACGAGAAATTGATTGCAGACCAGCAAATTCATATCGGGTTATCGATATTGGATACTAAAATGCTGGAGGAATTGTTTCAAGAGTCAAGGCTAGATCGACCTTGCGACCCTGCGATCACGTCTTATCAATTCACTTGTGGGAATTCAGCGTACTTCCGACGAGCATATAACAGATTTTATCCGGAAATTCCCGGCCCATCGCTCTTGGCGATGTTAAGCCTAAGTGTAAATCTCTGATGGCTAATAGAGACGTAGCTGTGGTACTACATGGAGCCGATTTAGATCTCAAAATTCTTCGACAGCTCAAGATCAACATCGAAAAAATGTCTCTCTATATTATAGAGACCAACAAGGTGGCGCAGTTCTCTCTCCAGCTGCACTACCGGGTGGGCTTGGAGAAACTACTCGACGCATTTCAGATACCATACGCGTGTTTACATGCAGCCGGTAATCTGTTTGCAGGCTTTGCTCATACTTGCAGTCTGTGATGCGGAACTTCAACCATCGGGCTCTTCTTAGCCGTTACTCCAGATAGCCAGAGAGGCGGCACAAGCCTCAAGGCCCCTCTCTACGGCGGAGATACAGGCACCGATAATCGAAGCTAGAAAGCAGGCAACGGGTGAGAGTCGTGCTAGGAGGAATTTAAGACGGGCGGCCAGGACTGAGAGCCGAAGGGTAGGAAGACTCACAGGCAAGTCTGATACAGTGCAAGCCGCGGACATTGAGCCACCACGAGGCACATCAACTGAGTCTCAGGCTACGACTTCGTGAAATTGGTTAGAGCACAGCATGTGGGTTATTGGAAGTGAGGTGTTGAAGGTTACCTAGCTAACTGCGGTGGTTTTGGACAGGACAACGGGATAGGTGGGCGCATGGAGCAAACTTCCAGGGAGGCGTGGCATCCATCGTTCTATACACGAAATTATCCTACGTTCAGGATTTGAATGCGTAACGGAAGTACTTTACATGGCCTAGCGAGGACGTCGTTCTAACCAGAACGGTCTCACCACGGCAACACTGTAGAGCTGCGGCCTATGTTATAATCATACGAAACGCAGCAACAGAAACAGGAAGTGGCAGAGTATCAATGAATCTATCGATTTTTATCAAGGTACAAGTCGCATTTGACAGAGCTGCGTAATCTCAACCCCATGAAGTACTATCAGGATGTGTCACTCTGTCAGAGCGTGGTTTTGGGCAGAGTGAAGAGGTCTTCCACACGTGGTCCGCAGGCGATATATAATACGTATGGGTGTGTGATACATCTGAATTCTGGTCCCCCTCAACCAGGAGGGCCCTCAAAAGTTCTCATATATACGTTCTCGTTGTCCCTAGCCCCCACACAAGTCCCTCGCCCTGAAGCTCTGTAGGGGCCTCCTAGCCCGTTGTAACTAACATGACGTGGTGAAATCGTTTTCCTTGCGTCTCTTGATTTTTCATTCCCACAAGTTCTCTGACATGATCGGCCGTTCACCCTCGGAAACATGTCTTCAGTTGTGTTCTGCTGTATAACATCATGATACCCATTGGAGCCACCTAACTTCGACTCCGCATCTAGCCAGCATTTCGTCTTGCGCATGTCACCCAAACGACCGAGTTCAAGCCTTGGTGAAGAAAGGAGGCCAAACAAGCCTGGCTCTTCGCTGGTCGAGTAGTTCGACATTAGGATAATCGTTATACGGGCATATCTACTCTTAAGTTATAGTTCGATGGAAAGAAGGTAGGTGGGCATTATAAATTATGGACAATACAATGGAAGCAGGAAATGAGAGCAGGAAAGTAAGATGAAGGGTGCGAGTGGGAAAGAAGCATGCACGATGCAGGCTAGACCAGGACCAACAATTCATTGACGAATTTATTTATTTTCGATGATTCTACAAGGGAAAGGAGAATGCTATTGAAGCAGTGGTGATAAATAGGCGGAACGCCTGGAACTTGGTTATCGACATCAAATCGAGGACGGTCGTGTGTTTACCGAATACTTCATACCAACAACAAAACTCCGGAATAACAAACCTGGGCAGAGACGGCATTCATCATCCCACTTTGACGCTCAATCATTTCTGGCCAAGGTCTGGCCCCCCTCAAACACCTTGTGGGACAGCCACTCGCAAAATTGACGCCGCCGGGTGCGGACTGAGATACCACAGACGTTCCAATAGGCTCCGGCCGGGAGGGGTTGATCCCGAACATGACATTGAAAGTTATTTTTAGGTGCATGCAGCTCATTCTTGTCGACTTCGCAGACGCCAACCAGCCCCTGCCGCTGTACCGACCCCTCCATCCAAGCGCCGACAGGAGAGGATCCCCGTCTCATCGCCAGGTCCAGTTCGCCTCTGTGTCGTCCTTCTCCGCGATGCACAAAGTCACTCAGAAAAGGGTTTCAACCAAAAGACCAAGATATGCATGTACTGATGTGCATGTACTGTTCAAATAAAGCAAAAGAAAACCATGTCTTGAGACGACACGTTCCGTGGTATATCGACAAATAAGACCCCGCATGCACCTTCATCAACTCGCCTTTCGTGAGAACCCCCTCGCAATGCAAGATGCCACCGTCGTGACTCCCTCCTCTCTTCCACTGCACCCAGATAGAGAGAGATAGTAAAAGAAAAATACCCAGCCCGAGAAGGCATTGTTGTCTCACTGCCCGCTGCCGGATTGTCTAAATATCGAAAGCCTCGATGTCCCGTTTTGTCCTAAATTACAGTCCTCCTCCCATTGTTGAGGGCTTCGCCGTTACCACACGTCCTCGCTGTCGCGCACCATTTCCATAGTCGGCGTCTTGGGCTCCAGACGCTTCATGCGCTTGCGATCCGCCTTGGACACCAGAGACGGTGTCATGGGGATACAGGGGGTGAAGGGCTGGTACGGAGAGTACGGCACTGCGGCTCCCGTAGCCGGCGTGCGCAGGCCGCTCGGCGAGAGGGGACCTGTGCGCTCAAACGTCGTCTGCTTGGTGTTATGTGCCACCATAGATGGAGAAGCTAGAGAAGGCTCGTAGGCGCGCAGGGGCAAGGCACCGCCGGTGCGAACGGCCGAGGGGGCGTTGGGACGCTGGAAGGTGGCGCCAGGCTTGGGTGAGGCCGGCAGCGTGGGGAAACGCGTGACATGGGGCTTGGGGGATGTAGGAAGACCGACAAGGGGCGTCTGGGAATGGTCGGATGCGGCCGAGATGGGATCGGCCTCCGTGGGGGCCGATGAGATAGTGCGGTGGTGGTTGCCGTGCTTGGGCGGTTGGCTGAGGGGCAGCTGGAAGCCGATGCGCTCGTCGATGCTCTGCGTGCTCTCTGGCGATTGATCGGGGGAGATGGGTGCGGTCTGCACCTGTCCTCGCTGCAGGCCAAAGGGCACCTGGTCGGTAGGGACCGGAGGTGGCGGGGGCGGGGCATAGTGACGAGGAGGGATGGTGTCCATCTCTTGAGCCTCATACCGGGGGAAAGTGGCGGATTTCGGGGTCATCATGGGAGACGAGATGCTGATGCCGCGCACCCCTGTCTTCTTCTTGGGGGAGCGCAGGGCCGAGAGGATGGAAGAGGTGCGCGACTTCTTCTCCTCGGTGAGGTTCAGGGCCGCGGGTTTGTTCTTCTCCTTCTTGAGGGTGGATGGCGCGGTCGACCGGTCGGACGTCGACGACCTTGGGTAGGTGGAGGCGATCACAGGCGCAGGCGGTCCCTGGAGGATGATGCCTTTGGCCTTGGCCTCTTCCTGTTCCATCACGTACTTGTACATGTCTTCGAGCTGCGTTTGCGCCATGTGTCTGTCGGCTGCGACCACACGCTGGTCGACTGCGAAATCAACACCGGGGGCGTGGAGCGTGGAGGAGGGCGAAGGGGAGATGTAGGGTGTCACCGGACTGGGGAAGAATTCGCTTCTGTCTGGCGACGGGTACGAGAAGTTGCGAACGGGACTCCGTGGGATGCTGCGTGGCGATTCGGGCCGCGTTGGGATGATGAGATTCGGCAACTGCTTCCTGTCGTCTTCAAAAAAGACAGCTTCTAGGTCCTCTTCGTCTTCTTCTTCTTCGTCGGCGGCTTTGAGGTGTTCGCGACGCTTTTTGGAAAGAATGAGGATGAGGATGGCGACCAGCACCAGTGAGACTCCGTAGGCACCGACAATGGCACCAATCTGGATCGGCAGGTATTTCGTGTCTCTCAGCGCACCTGCGGAGAGAGGAGGGCCGTCTTCGGGAGCTGGCGCGGGACCCCACTCAATGTTGAGAGGATTGTTGTCTCGTCGTTGCTGGCCGACGGCGGCGAGAGGCGAGATTGGTGAGGCGGCGACGGGTGTGATCAAGATGGACGTTGTGGCAAGAATGAGCGACGATGTGACAAGAAAAGAGAGGCGGAGAGGTTGCTGGCGAGATTGGACTCCGGACATCGTGGTGAGGGACGTCCGGAAGTCTTAAAGGGTGAACCAGCTGAACCAGCTGTGATGATCCTACCTCCTGGCGGGCGATCCGAAACACATTACACATGGGAGAGTAACATGAAAGAGGGTCGGATACGCGGCGCACAAAGGTATATAGCGGTTGATGAAGTTCGGCACTGCGTCGAGATTGGCGCTGTGCGATGCAAGCTGCGTTCTGACTTGCTGGAAGGGCCCGGGATGGCTCGAGGTGGCACAGGATGGCCCCAGGCACTAGCCATGCTCACGACGCCAGTGGTCACACCTTGCATGAGAGCAGAGGAGGAAAATAGCGCCCACGAAGGCACGGCGCCGTGACTCGGTCGACCCTTGGGTGCCCTCTGAGGCCGTTTGTGGCCCTCCATCAACCTGTCGCGCGCCGACTGACGAGGGGGGGCGGGAGGTTGAAGACCGCATTTCGAACGTGGTTGGCCGGACCGTCGTGATGGCCAGGGGCTGTAAGCGCCGACCATGTACAGCCGGGGTCATGATTGGCGACAACCACCCACCACCAACCCCGCGCCGGACGAGCTAGAGGCGCATATCCGATGGCACACCGCGTTGCCAAGCAGTCGCTCGAGTCCAGCCCCCCGGCCGCTCGCTGCTCCATTCGCATGGCAAGCCGCCCTTGGAGATGAAGACTTCTGCTTCTTGCCTCGCTCGACATGGTGTATGGCTGCGTCGAAGAGGAGAGCGAGGCGACTTGACTTGGTCATTTGGGACCCGTGGTACGAGTATCTGGTTCCGAATGGATTCCACAGAGCCGTTCTGCGCCTGCTGCGGGCCCGGCAAGCTGCAACTTTCTCCTCTACTAGTCGACCCATGACCTCAGCGCTGGGACGGCATGTCTCTCTTGTTTCTCTCCCCCCTCTCGGTTCCTGTTCGTTGCGGCATGTCATCTCGCGACCGGCGGTGGGGCCAACAGAAAACCAGAGAGCGATGATCAGAGCCCCTCGAATGGTGGATGGAAGTGTGATGATAATCCACTAGATATGCCCGTCGCGCCGTCACATCACCGCTTCTTCTCGTCGCCCCTCGAATGAAATGCCGAGAGGCGTGTGTTCTCTCGGTGCTAAGGTGCCGACACGACTCGCGAACTGTGATCACAAGAGACATGTGGTCTCGCCCATCACAACGTGATTGAGAGTGATGAGAATTTGAATGCTGACAGGTGGTGATGAGCACGCTGCAGAAAACTTGTCATGTTGGTGTTCTTGCGCGCGGTCTGGTCTTCTCTGCGTCGATGGCTTGCCGTCCGCGCTTGGGGCGGGAGCCTCAACCAAAACGTGATGTGAAGCGATGTGACCAACGATCCAGAGATACGGTTCTGAACCTATAAGAGGCCAGGAACGACCTCCGACAGAGACCCTCCAACTCCCAACGATGAGGGTCTTGACAACCCCCCCTCACGGGACAAGAGGGTGGGAAGAGAACATGGCAGCGGGATGAGGCTTGCGGCGCGGCACGGTTCGGGACCGAGTGATCCATTCCTTGTCGCTTCTTGGGTATTCTAGAGTTCAGCGATTCTTCGGACGGTGCTGATGAGGTCGTGATGTGCCAGGCGTACGCGCATCCAGGCCCAGCTGTAAGAAAGACGTCCATGTAGAAAGACGGCGGGCACCATCTTGATCGTCATCATGCCACTCATGCACAGGCTCGGGACTTGGCACGCAGCTTGCCCGTCAAATATGAACCCTGGAGACCCCATCTCTGCCGAGCTGGCATGTTGCTATTTTGGTCGATGGAATCGATAATGTGATGATGGCTTGCATTGACAATACACTGTCTGCAGGTGCACCAGCGAGGAGTCGCTTGGCTGGGACAGGAGGGGAAGAGTCTCGCTGCTTTAAGCTCAGCCTGTCAACTGAGCTCCTGTAGTGGCTCAGCCAGCATGATCCAGCCACACACAGAGCCACGATGCTCACCATGGAACTCATATCGACGAAGACACATGTTTGACGAGCTCTGGTCAGGGTCGCATGATAGCCCGTGCCTGCGCTTCCGATTCTGCGGCATCGGCAATACCGCGATGTGAGGCTTCGGCGCCGCTCTCCTCTCCATTTCGGTAACCCATGTGCCTCGCAAATCGGGAAGCAGTTTGCATACCCTTTATCACAATGACAGCACACGGGGACACGACACTGGGGTTTTCTAGGCGAGCAGTGACCGTTATGGCCCCTTCTAGCTGTAGCGTACTATCAGTACCTCTTGGTGTTGCAGTGCAAGAAGCCTGGAAAATCTTGAACAGTGGCTTGGTAGCAGGGTCTTGCGATCGTCAGGCTCTCAGTACCTCCAGTATCAAGGAGACTCGTTCTAACATCCGCATTGTACTAATTCACTATCATGGACGCCCACCCGGCGGTATTGGGGTCCTATGGGCGTTCTCTAAGCCCTGCGTCAAAAAAACAGGATGACCTCGTTGGTTCACAGAAGCTCCATGAGCTGTGGGCAAAAACCAACTTGATAGACACACGACAGGTGATCGCTGTTACGTCCTCAAACCGAACCTTCCATTGATCATACAATCGTAATATTCGCTCAGACATGAAGGTCTACGTGAAATACAGGCTGAACGACAGACAAACATTGACGGGATCAAACACCAATACAGGGCAAGCTTGTGGCGGCCCAGAGCCGGAGAAGAAAAAGAATCACATTAATGTCGCCCCACCCAAAACCAAGTGCCGCTCAATGCACCTAGTGATCAAACAAGGCCTTCTACTCCATCTTGTACACGTGGAACTTCTCAGGGACATCCTCGAGGTCCCTGTCAGCTGCCGCGATGTCGACACTAAACGCAGCTGTTAGTAAACATGGCCAAGGCGCGGGATCCAGTGGCGCAGATATGACGGAATGTCCAAAGAGAAGGATAGAATCATCGCCAGGTCTTCCTGAAATACAAATTGTACTCACTGCACTGATATTAGCAAACGATGCCCGGAACGGATGATGGGCCTATGTCTTGCGTACCATTTCGAGATAAGAAGCTTCGTCCAAGCTTGTAAGGTTGAATTTGACCCCGCCGAAGGAGACGATGGAGGGCCTCACAACATCGGCACAATCCTCTCGGGCACGAACGGAGCGTCTTCGGTCGTTGATGAAGTGATAGCCGCCACCGCCGTATCCCCCGAAGGACATGCAGACAGATGTGTCTTGGCCGAAGGTGGCCTGTGACGAGATGATGTTGCCACACTGGCTGCCCTGATGGCCGGTGGCTCGAATGTTCCAACCGGTCGGGATCTCCCTGAAGTCGATGCTGGCGAAAGGGCTCCCTGGGTTTGGGACCGAACAACACACGTTGGGACTTACGTTTGCACAGTGGACACTGTTCTTTCCGCGACAGTCGGTGGCATCCCAGTTGAGCCAAATGTCAATGGCAGAGACGCCGGCAACAAAGTTGAAGAGGATCGGAGCGAAACGCATTCTGACTCAGGTGAAATCTTTGGCGGGTGAGGCTAGGAGCACAGATGAACTGGAGAAGACGGGGAGGATGATGTAAATGAAATAAAAGCGACGGAAGAGTGGCAGATGCGTGCTTTATATCTGAAAGTTGATGGTTCAAACTTGCCAGATGACTCTCAAAATGAGCGGACTTGCCTCGTCGAATGGCTTGTCCAGCGGTGACTGACCCATTTTCGAGTTGAAAAGCCTCATCCCAGGGTCAACTATTGACAGGCGCGCAAAGCGTGAAAGCGGCGGTGTCTCCATGGGCAACGGACCTGAAGCAGGGGATAATCAGGCAACAGCAGCTGTGTTGGCCGTTTCAACACGCTGCTTGCATTGCATCGTTGCGGGGGCGGAAGCAACAGAGCCAACAGAAACTACAAGTGACGCCAGCGTGCAGAATGCGTTCTTGCGGTTGGTACTACCATGACGGCTGTGCTTAAGCGATGGTCGGACCCCTGTCTTTGTTTGAGCCTGACAAGACGAGGCTCCTCCGATGTCCGTAACTCGCAGATGCTGCCAGTATGAAGCCCATGTGACTGTTTCCCCCCGACAGTATTTTCCTCTACAATTTTCTGCTCCAAAAATTAGAGTATTGGCCAATGATTTTTGGTTTCGATCTCGTGTTGCCCTTCAAAGGGCTGCTCTTGATCCATCCAGAAGGCATCACGCTCTTGGAAGACATATTGCTTTTGTAATTTTGATTGGAAATAAGGAGAGACCATCCACATCCTGGTTGCACCAACAACATCCACATGGAGCCGTGGGGTAACTCCGACTGGATTATATGCGATGGCCCTGTTCCCTACAATGACGCTAATGTTCACGCACCTGGACGTCTCCACCTTTTCAGTTGGAGACAAAACCGTGCCTGATACGTCGTGAACACCCGCTCAAGCTTCAGACGCGGTCTAGTCTGTTGACCGTGTTCAGTCATTTGGCCAAACGCGCAGGTAGCTAGCTGCACCTGATTCACCAGAGCATAAGTAGCACCGTCAGAAATCTCAGCATGTGCCACAATTCTGACTGTGTCGTTGATGCCCTTCACTTTGAACCTTAACGGATCTTCATATTCAGTGCTGGCTTAGTTCGCTGTGGCAAAGTGAGGGCGTGGCATTGCATTCACTGGCACTAACAAGTTTACAGTGCCATGGTGACCGGGCAACGTCAACCCAACACGCTAATATGCATCATGAGTGGTGTGCCATGTAGGCAGTCCGCTATCAATTATGGGGAGCCATGAACTTCCAATCGGAAGGGCCAAGCTCGCTTCCGTGGTGGTCCTCAAGTATTCCCAAAAAGATCAGATTTGGTCGAATGCGATCACATCAGACATGAATTTGCAAATGGCTGTTGGCGCTAGCACTCCTATTTTGTGGTCCCTCCTGGCTGCAACCCATGAAGGCATGGGCCAGACTTTTCGCATCCCTGTAGAGCGTTCGCTGGGGCTTTCCATCCGTGGCAGACTGTGCGGTATTGGCGCCTGGTAGTAAAGACTTACTGCGCCAGCCGGAGCAGCTAGGGACGAACCCCGTTTTGATGCCCCAGAGGTGCCGCCCAAGTTGTGGGAGCTTGTGGGGGTTCAGCATGCTGTAAAGGCGTGGGTTCTGAGCCTTGATACTAGGGATAGTCGATTGCCCTTCTGGTCATGACAGTTTCAAGCCGGCTTTTGATCAGCCTCAGCTGAAGGATGAGTTCCAACAGGGCAGGTCGGATCGTGCCGGCCCAGTGGGCTTGACCCCTTGCAAAGTAGATTCGTCCACCAGATCCACTCCCACTTGACTGCTTGTTCGGACCCTGGCGACTGATCCTTCCTCGCACCCCTCATCTGCCATGCTGCATCGTCTCCTGGCGATCGGTGGTGGAATGCAAAGACGTATCCTGTCCGAACAAAGTCCCTACATCGTCATAGTTGCTCTGGCGAGCGGACAAGCTGCTGCCCTCTTTGCGGGAGAGGATAGGTGATATCAGAAAATGAGTGCGCATAGCGTACTGGGCCGTTCCCTGGGCGTTCTGCTGACTTTTCCTTTGCTGCTGCGCTGCTCTGAAGTCTCCCTACGTCTATCGACATTGAGCTTGATTTCAGAAACTTGCGGTCAAACTTGCAAAACGAATTGGGCCCACTGGGTTCTAGAGTCCTCGTCAAGTCTGCGGTCTTGAACACTCGGAAGAAGACGCTGACTTCCTCAAAAGCCGCGAGAGTCTAGTCTCGCGACACATCTTACACGAGAAATACTGGCCCTGTCGATTCTCTGCGATATTTGGGTCCGTATCTCAAGCGACCGTTCAAGCTCGTTCTTTGATGGTGCACAAAATACTTAAACTCGTCTCAGGCGTCACTAAGAGCGGCAAGGACCCACTTGGTCTCATGCTGTGGATGGTCACACAGGCCCTGGTGGATCCACCTGGCCAAAGCTCCATCTCTCTCTCTCTCTCTCCACCGGTCATGTGACTTCGTGCTGCGATTTCCACTTCACGCGATTCCCACCCATCACGACGCGTCTCACCACTCCACCAAACTCGAATGTCCATCTTTTGAGATCCCAATGGACCCGCCCGTTCACCATGAGCTTGTCCAGCGCAGCGCCTAGTGCGGCTGAGTCCCTTCTCGCCAGTCTCAACAAGGCACAATGTCGCGCCGTCACCTCCTCAGCACCCACCGTCGCCATCCTGGCTGGACCAGGTAGCGGCAAGACGCATACCTTGACCTCTCGTGTCGTTTGGCTCCTGGAGAATGCCGGCTACCACCCGGCAGACATAGTCGTCGCGACTTTCACCGTCAAGTCGGCTCGAGAAATGAAAGAGCGCATCGGACGGGCATTGGGCGACGGCCGTGAGAAGAAGATTGTCCTCGGCACCTTTCACAGCATTGCCCGCCGCTATCTTGCTACCTATGGCCAACGCATCGGCCTCAGTCAGAGGTTTGGCATCGCTGATGACGGAGATTCGAGGGCCGTCATCCAGAGGATATGCAAGCGGCTGGGTCTGGTGGTGGATCCCCATGCCGTCCGTTCCTGGATCAGCAAGAAGAAGGCCAAGGGCTCCGAGCAGCACATCGCACAGCGGCCCAACGCCAAGAAGCCGCGCGAGAACCCCGAGTTTGAGACCTGCTTCCGCGCGTACCAGGACCATCTGGAGCGCTCCAACCTCCTCGACTACGACGACCTGCTGACCAAGTGTGTGGAGCTGCTGCGAAAGCACCCCTCATGCGTGTCCAACGTGCAGGCGGTGCTCATTGACGAGTACCAGGACACAAACGGCATCCAGTACGAGCTTATGAGGCTATTTGCCCAGGCCCGCGATCGCATCACTATCGTTGGTGACCCGGACCAGAGCATTTACGGCTGGCGATCGGCCGAGATCAAGAATCTGTATCGTCTGTTGAAGGACTTTCCCCAGACGGACGAAATCTCACTGGAGGAGAATTATCGGTCGTCACAGGCCATCCTGGACGTGTCGTTAAAGGTCATTCAGCAAGACAAGAAGCGGTACCAAAAACTCCTGCTTCCCGTCCACAACAAGGGCACGCGGCCGGTGTTGCGCCGACTGAAGACGGCCGCCAACGAGGCAGAGTGGCTCGTCTCCGAGATCCGACGTGCCATTCTCATGTCGGGGAAAATGATGAACGAAGACGATGTGGCCATTCTGCTGCGGTCTGCAGCACTCTCCCGACACATTGAGTCAGCGCTCGGCAAGTGCGGCATACCCTACAGGATGGTGGGCGGGAAAAAGTTTTACGAACGCATCGAGGTCAAGATTCTCATTGATTATCTACGTGTCATTCACCAGCCCGAGAACAACGACTCGCTTGCGCGCATCATCAATGTCCCTCGTCGCGGTATCGGCGACGTGACCATAAAGAGTCTCGTCGAAGAGGCTGAAACTGCCAAGATGGACGTCTGGACTCTTCTGACGAAGCACTGCCGCGGGGACCGAAAGGCGCAAACAAACATCAAGAAGGCGATGGAGCAAAAGATCAGCGGGGAGCTCATCAGAATGGTCATGTCGGTGAGGAAGAAGGTCGAGGAACCCCCGAATGGAAGTCCCTGCTACCATCTGGTCGACCTCATTGGCGATCTGCTCTCGCAGCTGAATTTCCAGAAGTACCTCCAGGACATGTATCCCGAGGAACATGAGGCGCGATGGGCCAACGTCGAGGAGTTTATAAACCTAGCGGGCGATTTCATGCGCGAGCTCAGCGCGACTGTGGAAGACGACAAGTTGCCCACCATCGACGGCGTCCAGCAGGTGGAGGAGAAGGATGCGCTTGGCAGGTTTCTAGCCAACGTCGCGCTGGCTTCTGATTCCCAGAAGGGTGAGGCGGAGAATAAGCCAATGGTGACCATTTCAACAATCCACGCGGCCAAGGGCCTCGAGTGGCCCGTAGTTTTCGTGCCAGCCGTGTACAACGGCTCAATACCGCACGCCAGGGCAGAAGACTTGGACGAGGAACGAAGGCTCCTTTACGTCGCCATGACGAGAGCGCAATCGCTTCTTTACCTCAGCTGTCCACTCTACAGCTCCCAGGCCGGGGGTATGGGTGGCGGAGGAGAGAAGGCCGAGCTTTCTACTTTTCTGCCCACTGAAATCCACCAGTCGTTCGCCAGGAGAGGGCCCTCGTTCAGCACCGAGGTGATCCAGGAGGTGGGCCGCATCCTAGGCCGCGCAGACTCCGTACCTTCGGCGGAACGTATTTTTGCACAGATGCCGCTGCTCGAGAGACTGGAGGACACGCTTTACCCTGCCGACCCAGAAGAGAGCAATCCAGCGGGCAGGGCTGATAAGAACGGTTTCAAGCGCCACCGAGGCCCGCAGGCCAACGGCGACACTCCCGCCGAGGCCTATCCCCAATGGCAGACGGCAACCACCATGGAAGCCGCCTCGGCCTTCACACTGCCCGGTTTCACGACCGCTGGCGCGCACCAGACCGCCATTGCCGCGGCCAAGGAAGTCGCCGAAGCCGCCGAGGCCGCCGGGCCGCAGCGAAAGCAGGCCGGACCAGGACACGCCAACACGCGACGCGCTGGAACGACGAAACGTCCCCCCGACCAGCGCAGCCTCCTGGGCTTCGTCAACAAGAGACAAAAGTCCGACCCATCAGGCACTGCCTCTGAGCCTATGCCCGTCGCCGACGTTCGCTCGGGCCTGACCCGGCACGTCTCGACATCACACTCGGCGGTCGCGCCCTATCCCCGCGGCCAGCCGGCGCCTCCGAATCCGGCCGCACCGGCTCTCCCCGGACACAGGCTCACGACGCCGACCATCGCGAAGCCGACGGCCAAATCACGTCCGCCAGCAGGCGAGGCGCAGGCGCACTACGGCTTCCTCTCGAGCTCGCCGGCCAAGTCAGCAGTGCCTCAGCCGGGCGACGACGACGCTGAAGCAGAGCCAGTCGTGGCGCCCGAGGCGCGGGAGCGGCCAGCAAGCTGTCTGCATGCGACGACATCAATGGGGCAAGGGGTGGGACGGTTCGAGAGGCCGGCGTTACTGAAGAAGGAGGGCGGTATTGCACCGATAGACCGGTTGAGGAAACCGTTCAAGCCACTGACCATGAATCGGCGTTAGCGAGGCGTACGAAAGAAAACAAACTACCCTGTCGATAGGTTCTCGATAGATTTCATGAATGATGTAATGCCCAGTGTGACGGACCCCCATGTGGACGGCCGGCCTCATTTTGACCACATGAGCACCAAACCGGACCACCTCTCGGGTGAAGCAGGAAGACCAGAAGCGGCGGTGTCACGGGGATGGATGCATGCCTTACGCCCAGGCATAACACGTCCCCAAGCGGGCCAGGCAGCGCACGGGTCGTAAAACCCCACCACCGCCGCCCCGGATTTACGACGTCAGCATAACGGTTGTTTGCTGTGCACTGACGACCTGGGTAAGGTACCTTGGTTGCCTTGCGTAAGGCTGACCCTCGTACCTGAACGTTCAGGTAGCGTCAAGGGACCAACCTGGAGAAGCTTGGGTATATAAGATGATCAGAATCTCGCCCTACAGTGGTCATCGTCATCCTCTGATCCAAGCCTCAAAACGAGAGACTCTCATCCAAGAGCTTCACCACCAACCGAAACACGTCCGCCAATGTATCGCTCCACCATGACACCCGTGGCCCGATCAGCCATCCTCCGCCCATCAGCGGCCAGGACTCTTTACCCCAGGAGCCTCTCCATCTCTGCTCCCCGCCGCGGTTCCGCGCCGCCGAACCCGGGCTCCGACCTGTGGAATCCGAAGGAAATGTGGCGCAAAGCCTCGCCCCGAACGAAAACCTTTGTTGTGCTGGGTGTCGCGGTGGCCGCCATCGCCGAGGGGGGGTTCTGGGCGACCTTTGGGCCGCGCATCTTCGGCAAGGACAAGACGGCCGAGTAGACTTTCACACACTTCATCGTCGTCATCTCTACCAAGACACTGAGGGAAAGACAAGGCAGGCAGACAGATTGTGTATCGTTATTTGTGTCCCAAATCTACTCATAATTATCCCTTCTAACGCCTTTGATGCCCGGCCCTGCCCGTACATGAATAACGTCCCATACTTTCCCCGCTGAAACCTTCTACCAATCCGGTGCGCTTCCGCATCCGCCTCCGGCAAGCACCTCCACTGGCCTGTTCATCTTGAGCGGCGCGAATGGCTTGACGCCGGGCTTCTTTCCGCGAATGCCCTTGAAACCAACGGCCTTGTCGAGGCCCGCGAACGGCGCCTGGCCAGACTCTCCCTTCTTGACCTTCCACTTGGCCGTGCCGAGTTCGGCGTCGAGCTCAGCCACCGGCGGCAGCAGCACGTGCACCATGCCGTCGGCGCGCTCCTCGGCCTCGAATGTCGCGATGCTCAGCTCGCCATCGTTCTTGCAGTCGCCGTTGGCGAGGTCAAAGTTGCGCTTGTGGTAGGGGCACGACACCCACGGCGCCGACTTCTTGGCGTCGCCGTTGGTGCTGCACCCGGAGTCCGCCTTGGGCGCGTCCGAGCACGTGTTTTCGCCTGTAGCCTCGCCGATGAGGCCCTCGGACAACACAAAGGCACGCTTGTGCGGGCACATTTGCTGCGTAGCATAGTACTTTCCGCGAACACGCCACACGGCGAGCTGCGTGTCACCGCGCTTGATCGTCGCCGAGATGCCGTCCGGCGCATCGTCGGCGCCGGCAAAGTAGGAGGCAGCAAGAAGGGGCTCCCACTCTTTCGAGGTCCACCGTGACTTGAGCGCCTTGAAGTCCTCCTTGGCCGCCTCTGGCGCCCAGTACACGGGCCTCTCCTGGTCACGCTCCGCCTCGATCTCCACATTCTCAACCGACTCGTCCGTATTGGCGAACTGCTTGAATTTGTTGATGATTGAAGGCGTCGCAAGTGCCTCGGCCCATTCGTCAAAGAAGCTGTCAACGAGTTCCTGCATCTGTGCCTCCAGGGACGCACAGATGCCGAGCTTGTCTTCGAGCACGACCTCCTGGAGATACTTCAGGCCACCCGGCAGCGCTTGAATCCAGCTCGCCGTCCGCTGAAGCTTGTCTCCAGTGCGGATGTAGAACATGAGGTAGCGATCAAGGATAGGGATGACTTCGGTGGGCGGTACGTCCTTGGCCAGCAGCTCCGCGTGTCTCGGCGTGACACCACCGTTGCCGGCAACGTAGATGTTGAAGCCCTTGTCCGTCGCGATGAGGCCAAAGTCCTTGCTCTGCGCTTCAGCGCACTCACGCACGCAACCGCTGACGCCACCCTTGATCTTGTGCGGCGCCCGGATGGACTTGTAACGCTCCTCGAGACGGACAGCGAGGCCAACCGAATCGCCGATACCGTAACGGCACCACGTGCTTCCGACACAGGACTTGACAGTACGCAGCGATTTCGCGTACGCGTGGCCCGACTCCATGCCTCCAGCGATGAGCTCCCGCCAGATGGCAGGCAGGTCCTGCCGACGGGCACCAAACATGTCAACGCGCTGGCCACCAGTGATCTTGGTGTAAAGCTTGTACTTGGCAGCGACCTGGCCGATGACAATGAGCTTCGCGGGAGTAACTTCACCACCCGACATACGAGGCACAACGGAGTAAGTGCCGTTGCGCTGAATGTTTCCAAGGAAACGATCGTTGGTCTCTTGAAGACCGTGTTGAGGCTTGTCCATGACGTGGCGATTCCAGAGCGAGGAGAAGATGCCGCCAATTGTGGGCTTGCAGGCCTCGCAGCCAAGCGAGTCGGGTTCGGTTCCGACTTCGCGCATGACCTCGGCGAGCGTACGCAGCTTCTTGACCATGATGATGTGGTAGAGCTCGGCACGCGAGTATTTGAAGTGAGAGCACAGATGGTTCTTGACTTCGTTGCCCATTGACGCCATTGTCTTGTTGAAGATTGTCGTCACGAGAGGCATGCAGCCGCCACAGCCCGTGCCGGCCTTGGTGCACGCCTTGATGTCACCGATGCTCGTGCATGAGCCGTCCTTGACGGCGTCGACGACGTCGCCCTTGGTCACGTTGTGGCACGAGCAAATCTGGGTATCATGGGATAGATCGTCACCATCATCCTCCCCATCCTTTTTCGCGCCAAGAATGAGCTCGCTCGGTGGGATGTCGAGAACCTTCATGTTCTTAACCATGGGTACAAGCTTGATGTAATCGCGTGTGTCGCCAATCATCATACCACCCAGGAGGTACTTGCCATCTTCCGTGAACAGATACTTCTTGTACACGTTGGAGAAGGGGTCGCGGTAGGTAAGGGCCTTGACCGGTGCTGGCGGTAGGCCGTTGGTGAGCGTCTCGAGAGCCGTTTGCGCGTTCTCCTTGTTGGCACGCTTCGCACGAGGCGGCAGCTTCTTGGGCCCGTCGCGATCAGCAAAGAAGTCACCAAAGCTGGCGACTTCCACTCCAAGCAGCTTGAGCTTCGTGCTCAGATCCGGAGTCTTGAAAACGCGAGGCGAGTGCAGGTGAGCTTGTGTCAGATTGAAAGACAAGACATCGGCCATCTCTACACCAGGAGCGATGAGACCAAAGGTCTGGGTCTGCCAGCTGGCACACTCGCCAATGGCGTAAATGTCGGGCTCGCTGGTGCTCAGATCATCGCCGACGATGATACCACCGCCGCGATCGGCGCACTTGAGGCCGGCCTTGCGGGCGAGATCATCTCTTGGTCGAATGCCAATGGCAAAGCAAATTGTCGAGCAGGCCATCTGCTCACCGTCCTCAAACAGAACGCCAGTCACATAGTTGTCGGCATCCACCTCGACCTTACCAACGCGCTTGCTGAGGAGAACGTCGAGGCCGAGGTCGCGGACCTGTTCAACAACCATGGTACCAGCATCGGCATCGAGCTGACGGCTGAGTACCCATCGGTTCCTCTCGATGAGCTTAACCTTGTCGTAGCACTTAAGATCCATCATGGCATTGGCAGCCTCCAGACCAAGCAGGCCGCCACCGACAACGGCGCCGACGGTCCCTTTCCTATGCTCGGCAAATTCAATGAGGTTGATCAGATCATCAATTGTTCGGTAGACGAAGACGCCTTTCGCGTCGTGCCCGGGGGTGTGGCGGGGCAGGACGGCATCGGAACCGGTGGCGAAGACGAGGGAATCGTAGGAAACGACCTCGCCGCTGGAACATGTCACCGTCTTGGCCTTGGCGTCGACATCTGTGACTTTGGTGTTGATGTGGTAGCCGAGAGCTCCTTCGGGTGCGGCAGCATACTAGAAGACACACAGGCAAGGTTAGGCACTGTGGTGCGATCGACACGAGGTGAGCGAAGGCACATACCCATTCTTTTGGGTTCATGTAGAGGTTCTCGACTTTTCGGTGGTCGAAGAAACTTGTCAGGCCGACACGGTTGTATGCCAGATGTGATTCCTCCCCAATGACGATGATGTCGTAGGCGCGTGTGCGGGCATCGAGCTTGAGCATCTTCTCGATGAAGGCGATGCCGACCATGCCCAGGCCGACAACGACAATCTTCTTTCGCTCCGCCATGGTGAAGGATGATCCCCTAGGGGGGGTCACGATACAGGGGTTTGACGAATTGGAGGTGGGAGGGGGGCGCCGTCAACCCTGGATAAGAGGTCTTGTTGGATGTGGTGTACACTGGTGATGTTTCGAACAACAAGTGTGTCAAGAAACAGTGAAGGGGAAGAAATTGGTATGGACGGGAGAAAAAGTCAATCATTCAACGCAAGACACCCGGGCACCTCGTCGACAAAAGTCGCGCCACTTGGTTTCGGCTCTTGTGTCTAGGGTGTACCATTTCCGCGTGGCATGAGGTCAATGTGGTCCAACCCAGCTAGAGGGAATGGCCAATGGGCCTGGCCTCGTTCGCCCATGGTCTGATGTGGTGTGAGCATCTCCGGATGGGCGATCGTGGGGCGGAGCCATATCTCCAGGTTTCAAAGAGGGACCGAGTCTCGCGGGCGCATTAGGGAATAGCATGGCGTGTACTGGACCTCCCCGAGATGGGCGGGCGGGCGATATGATCTGGAGGGGTTGATGTCGCGCTCGACATGGAGGGGTCCTTTGCTGGTCGAGGTCAAGAGCGATGGAGTCCCGATAAGAGCTGCGCGAGATAAGACATTGGGGGAGAGCACTTATCCTCCAATAAGAGCAGGGGCGACCGCCCGCAGCAGAGGCTCTGCTGCGCCCGCGGAGAAGTAACTTTGGGGCCAGTGCGACCCGGGCTGCCGCTAATCGCTCTTGCCAGCGACGAATCGCTCCTTCCTGGTGCTAATCGCGCCTCCCCCCCCCCCCCAAGCTCCCCCCAAAAACTGCTCGTCCCCCCTACGAAAATCGCTCGACAATCAGATACGCGGGATGACACCAAGCGCACCCTAAGAGGACAGCATCTCCTTCGTCATGCCATCCGAGGAGAAAGCGCCCCAGGGTCCATTAGATATAGCCCTCCCTCCATTGGCCCTCCCCTTGCGGCTCCTGATAGACGTGCAGCCGGGTTATCGGGCTGGGCCGAACTGGCTGCCGTTCCGCCTCTCATTGGCCTCGTCTTCCCTGTCAGCAGCTTTACCGTCCCATTCTCTGGGCTGAAAGCTGGCGATAAGGGCCGCCGAGAGCGGGTGTGTACCATCTGCCTTTGGATCGTCTCAGGAGACTAGCATGTCCGCCTTTCTCCGTCGAAACCTTCTCCGCCCCTTCGCCAACCGATTCCAGACATCGGAGCCGTTGGTTGCGTCGAACAGCAATTCACGTCATTTGTCCCGTTGGACGATCGACGATTCCACGATAGCGTGTTGGACGACACATGACAGACAGTCTGACAAAGAAAATTGACTCGATTACTCCCCACCCCAGATTTCTCCCCCTGAACCGGTATTGTGACAAACACATTTGAAGCTTCCCGCCCAGATACCGCGGGGCATTTTGGCCCTTGTTTACTGTACAGCATAACATTACACCTCCCCGCAGGTCACGTGCATCATCTCCCAGGTCTGGCATGTCGTCCAAGCGCATGACTACGCGCTGGCAATGAAGCCATGGCCGCACTTACGCGGCGATCTCCCGCCGGAACGCGAAAAAGTAGTTGCCCACCTTCTCGCTGCCGGCGACCTCGCGCCACCCAACGCCGGGCACGTAGACGACACCCATGATGCGGGGGCTCGCCCAGCCGCTCTGCCCGGCGAACCAGGCCGTCAGCTCGGCGTCATTGATGTATTTGTTCCAGTCGTGGGTGCCCTTGGGCACGATGCCGAGGACGTCCTCGGCGAGAAAGTTTGTCGTCAGCCAGCTGACCCAGGTGCGGGCGATGGTGCTGCCGACGAGCCAGCCGCCAGGCTTGACAAAGGGGGCGCAGCGCGCGAGGAATTCGGCGGGCGAGTCGACGTGCTCGACGACCTCGAAGACGGAGACGACGTCGAAGCGGTCCGCAGGCGTCGCCGGCATGGGCAGCGTCTCGATGGTGGCCGGTAGGTAGGTCAGCTGGGGCGGGCGCAGGGCCGGGTCGCGGCGGGCATGGGCGCGGGCGATGGCGAGGACTTCGGGTGAAGGGTCAATGGCCGTGACCGAGGCTGTTGTGGGCAGGCGGGCGGCCGACTCGGCGAAGATTCCGCCGCCACAACCAACGTCGAGATAGCGGGCCGTGGCGGCCGACGAGGGGGGCGGCGCGTCGGCGGTCGAGGCCTGACAGGCGCGGATAAAGTCGTGTCGTAGCGGGTTCATGAGGTGCAGGAGGCGGGAGGAGCCGTGGGGATCCCACCACGAGGCAGCGAGGCCGTTGAAGTGGGAGATTTCCTCGGCATTGACTGACGAGAAGGTCGACGAGGGCCTGGCGTGGGTCGGGGGAGTTGTTGTCGCGCCTCGTAATGACTGTCGTGTTGCTGAGGGGCGGGCTCGACGCAGCTGCCGCAGCAGAGCGGCTGTTGCTGCCCGGGGGGTGGCCATTATGTGGTTGCGATGGTCGGCCGTGTTGGTGTTGCAAGAAAAAGGTGACGAGAAAGTGAAGCTTCAGCCAAAGGAAGCTAGGCCAAGCTCAGGCCAGGGCTACATGGAGCTTGCGACGATGATGAGCATAGGCAGGTGTCGTGCAGTGCAGTGCAGTGCATTGGCAGTGCCAGCGACAACCATGTGAAAGTGGCTGCCGCGGTGGCTCGTTCATTCGGCTCTGCAGACCGAGGCTGACCGAGCGGGCGAGGCCCATCTGACCTGACCCCTCCTTCGGCATCGGCTGGCTTGCAGGGAGGGACGTGGGCACGGCCAAACTGCTGCCCACGTATTATCCATTGCGTTTGATGACTGCGGTGGTAATATTGCGTGCAATCCACAGAGTGCTGCTGTCGGATTGCGTATCACCAAACTCTTGGTCATCTCAAATATGGATTGGTCAGCATCATCCAGATCAAGCATTCATCAATTACCTACATCGGGGAGGGAGAAAAAGGTGGAAGCCGCGCGGGAACCCAATTCGGTAGGGTTACCTAAGCCTCTGAGCCGCGGCTGGTACCCGGCAATGGGGTCCCTTCGACTCCACCGAGGGCCATCAGTCAGCGGTGGCATGAGCATGAGCATGAGCATGTCAAAGCCGCAGTCAGGCGGTGCCAGGGCAGTGGGTCATTGCCCCTCCTCCGCCGGCCTCGCCGTCCTGAGTCAAGAGCAGCCGAGAGCGGGACGCTACACTGATGCTCGTGCTTGCCCAGGCGCAGTCGGTCCCACGACACCGATCTGGCATCCCGCTTGAGTACCTTAGGTAGTAGGTACTAGGTTCAACATCGCCAGATCTCTTGGGTTCTCCTCTCATCTGTTTTCTTCCACCTCTTCACGACCGACCAGACCATATTGCTCGACCCAATCGACAGTCACCCGCGCGCTGCTTGCCGTCGCTTCACCTTTACCCCTCCACTCGGCACATGTCCATAGGACCCCTAAAAACTTCGCCGACCCCTCTGTGAACGCCCGGAAAGAGTCACCACCTCACCACCGCAACCACCATCGCCAATCTCCCTCCGGCGACACCCTCCAAACTCGATTGCGATACCCAACATTCACAGCGAACGCAACCATGCCCTCTTCTACATTACCCGCGTCGGCTTTCGACACGATCCCCGACGCCATCGCCGCATTCCGTACGTCCCATTGATTGCGCCTTCCTCCCCCAAATCCAAGTCCGATCACCATGCTAACACAAGTCCCCTTCCTAGGCAACGGCGAATTCCTCGTTGTCCTCGACGACCCTTCGCGCGAGAATGAAGCCGACCTCATCATCTCCGCCCAGTCTATAACCACAGCCCAAATGGCTTTCATGATCCGCCACTCCTCCGGCCTCATCTGCGCACCGCTGGCCCCCCACCTCACCGAGTCTCTCGAGCTGCCGCAAATGGTCCCCCTGACCGCGACCCAGGATCCCCGCGGCACCGCCTACACCCTCTCTGTCGATGCCGCCGACCCCTCCGTCACCACCGGCATCTCTGCCCACGACCGCGCCCTGACCTGCCGCACCCTCGCCGCCAAGGGCTCCAAGCCCGCGGATCTCCGCCGCCCCGGCCACGTCTTCCCGCTGCGCGCCCGTGAGGGCGGCGTCCGCGTGCGGCCCGGTCACACCGAGGCCGCTGTTGACTTTGCCAGGCTCGCTGGCACCGGCGACGCTGGCGTCATTTGCGAGCTCGTCGAGGACGGCGTCGAGGTCGAGGGCAAGGCCCTGCGCGAGGGCGGCGGCATGATGCGCGCCGAGGGCTGCATCGCGTTTGCCCGCAAATTTGGTCTCAAGGTCGTCACCATTGCCGATCTGGTCGCCTACCTCGAGAAGACGGAGGGGAAGGTTGAGGCCAACGGAGCGTGAAAGGAGACGAGCTGTACGAGCTCTGCATAAGGGATGCACGGGGGAAGGGAAGGGATGCGAGGTGAAGGAGGAAACGGAGCAATGCAAAATGGCCAAGTTGCGGGAAACAATCAAAAATGCAGATTGCCAATTATTATTATTTTGGCCATCTAGCCGAGGTTGGACATGTACATACACACAAATCACCCCCACCATCTGTTGTGCGACTTTTCGAATACAAGGAGGCAAGATCTTGATTCTACATGCGTGTGCCAGTACCCGTTTCTCATTCTCTGTCTTCTTCGCAGGTCCTCTCTTTCTAAAGATGCTTCCCCTTAACCCCTTGCCCACATATCCCTCCAGCTTTACCAAGTCGTACACTGCATGCCGCCATCCAGCCACTCGGGCAGGTCAAACTCCACGTCGTAGGTCGGATTCGCCCTGTGCTCGTCCTCGCTGACCGGGTCCCAAGCCCAGCGGTCCGCATACTCGGGCGCCAGTCGCCCGAACAGCATGTCGACAATGTAATCGCCAATGACGGGCAGAAACTTCCACCCGTGGAACGAGCCGCCCGTCGCAACAAACAGGTTCGCGCAGTGGGGGTGCGGCGTGATGAGAAAGTCGTGCGACTTGGTCGTGGCGTCCCTGCGTCGACAGTTAGCTCGGTCGAGAAATACGCCGCGGGGGTGGCGACCGGGAAGCCAGAGAGAACAACTGACCAGCACATGCGGAACCTCTCAATCTTGACGCCATCGACCTCCTTGCCGTACAGGCCCCTCATGGTGCTGAGCGCTCTCTTCTCGAACCGCGAGGAGAAGGCGCGGCCAAACCACGTGGCGTACTGCTCGTCATCCGGCGCCATCGACATGCGCTGGCCCGAGGCCTTGTGAAGCTGCATGTTGGTGAAGCTCATGTCGCAGTTGAACTTGATGACGCCCTCGGCAGTCATGCCCATGCTCTCGCCCTTGACCTGCGGCAGGACGTTCTTGCACACCGGCACGCCCGTGTACTTGTCCTTCTGCGCGCCGGTAAAGCGCCCCGTGAAGCTGACGGCACCCGTGGCCTCGACCCTATGGCCTGCATGCAACTCCGCTCTGTCAGGCGCGCTATCGGCCAGGAGCAAAGGTGTCCGAGCCCCGGTGCAGAGGAGCACCGCGTCCGCGCGCATCTCGTCGCCGCCTCTGAACTGCACGCCGACGCAGGCACCCACTTCGTTGAAAATGAGCTTCTCCACGTCGCCGACGTGGTGCCGCACCCCCTCAGCCTGGGCAGCCTGCAGGACGGCCCCGAGGGCCTTGTCGGCCTCGGCCCAGCCGCAATCTGGATTGTACATGATCTTATCAAGTCCCTCAAATTCGCCGTCAGCAAAGGCGCCGTTAAAGCGCCTCCGAACCTCATCGACGTCAAGCCACTCGGCGCGGCTCTGCACATTCAGCTTTTGATAGTTGCGCATGCTTCCATTGCTGAAGTTTCCCGGATCGGCCCGCAGCATGCCGACCTGGTGGTAGTAAGGGGTGTATAGTTTGTCCTCGCGCCACTGCTGCATGGCCTTAACCATCATGCGCATGTACAGAATGTCTGCATAGTCGTCCCGCACTATCTTGTTGATGTCGTGTGAGGCGGCGCGCGGGTTGGCGAGGAGCGTTGTGTCGATGAGCGTGACGACTTTGTCCTTGTGGCTCTTGGCCAGGCTGAGCGCGGTTGCAGCACCAAAGTTGCCGCCGCCAACAATGATGATGCTCTGCGCTTGAGTAATGTCGGCCATTGTAACAGATGCTGTAACTGGCTGGATGCGTGGCTTGACCTAAAGCTTGTTGCATATTAGTCAGGGCTGCGAATCAACACAACCCAAAACGATGTCTGCGTTGCCCCTTTTATATAGCACATGGGCTAAACGTCATACAAGGGGAACAATCACGAAAGGAGGAAGCTCAGTGAGGCTGGGCCGACCGAAAGACATCGAACTGCGCGGGCTGGTGGGACGACAACGCATTGTGCCCACACTCATCTTACTTGGTGATGCGCTCTTCGTAGAAAACCTGACCCCGTGGGTCGTGGCTGCTGGAGGATGATCCTTTAGGCGTATCGTTCGATCACCACCCCGAGCAAGTCGGCGCAAAGAGCGGCAAGAACACTTTGGCAGTCAATTTTCTTCTGGACCAAGGAGGCGGTTGCGCAATCACTGAGTTCTGGCCCAGTGAAATGCTGGAGTTATGATGCAGGGATCCGCAGCCAAGGCGAAAGATCAGTCGGAAGGTGAAGGATTCTTGCCCGATATACCCTTTTCCCCTTTCTCGGCGTAGAATTTAAGAGTTCAAGCTGCATCAGATGCACCGTCGCGTAGGGTCAAGCGTGACGACGCCGGGAGGGGGTTACGCCACGCCGGCTAGGAGTCGGCCTAGTGCCGGCCCCGAATTGCTCTCGGCGGCGCTTGCGAGGCGGCATGGCCAATGAGACCATGTGGAAGCATCATAGCGTTGTTTTCTCTCTTCTTTTGATGCTTTTCGTGGTGTTCTTTCAGCGGCAGACGCGAGATGTTTCCTCTTTTCTCGTACTAGATGATCCGCTCTCGGCCGAGGCCGTGCCATCTTCCACGACATGGCAACTGATTCCACTCGCATTTGCCTTCGAACACGAGGAATCTCAACTTTCTTTTTGCAAGGCGGAATAGCGTGTCTTGTCCGAATGTTCGCCACTCATGACCATCGAGATGCAGGAGCACACCAGAAACATCGGATCCACGGTAGGCAGCCTGCAGCCCCCTTTCGCGAAATTCGTTGGGCAATGCGGTGAGCCGATGCAGAGTCCCGATCGTAGACCTAGACCCAATCAAATTTCGCAATTCGTCACATCTAGATGCCACTGAAGGACTCTATAACGCAGGTTAGCGCAGTGGCGCAACGAACCTGCACAATACAGTTGCGTCCCGCGTCGAGTGCATGTGGCTTACTGAGAACTGATAGTCGCTGGGCCTCTGTCCCATGCAACCCACCGCATTCGATCATTTTACTCGTCTACAGACCAAGTCCTACCCTCTCAGGTCTCCTAGGTTCAGCTTTCTCTGTTTGTCAACTCACACCGACCGAATTAACCAATACCCTCTGTAGCGTGCGTGCTCCACGCCCATGACGCACATCATGGGTGTTTGCACGTGTGCGTGCGAACAAAATGACCCTTGCCTTGGTCGATGTCGCCTGCCGCCTCTTTTTAAAGACCCTCATGCGCACGCTATCCTAGAATTCGGCGTTCTAGTGGGGGACTTAGCCTCCCGTTGTTGACTACAGCTGCTTAAAGGCTATTCTTTTGCCAGTGTTTGCTGCCCTCTGGAGAGAGTGTCGCCTTTGGCGATAGCATTCTCATGGCAACATTCCTGTGGCAATAGGCCAGGAAGCACTCTAATAGCTGCCTCGTTGCTTGGGCAGCTATGCAGCGTGTCTGCATTGGCATAATTTCAATGACGAGGCGGATGAACGAGCTTGTGGATGACAGAACCGCAGGGCGGGAATATCACCAGACACGGAATAAAGTCCGGTGGCTGACGGCCAATCAGACGAGTTACTGATGACGTCCCAGCGACAAGGAAGCGAGGAGGGAAGGAGGGGAAGAAGGCAGAGCGAAGCCATCCTAGCCTCGGTGACGATTCGACGCAGGGGGAGGAGGAAGTTTCCCCGTACAGAGACTGTATTTCATGGTGCAGAAAAAACGTTGGTGGATGTGGAAGCAAACATATATTTCCACGTCTTTGGCGCCACAATATTTGGAGGAACCCCCCATAGGGCCTCCAAAGGATGAAGCTGATACCCCAAGTTAATAGAGGGCCATATGGTGATTGGTCCAGACCTCGAGCGCAACAGGCCTAGCAGATGGCATGCCGGTCGGGAAGTCAGGCGCCACAGGATCTGGGGGATCAAACGGCGGAGCCAGCAGAGCCAAATTGCCCCCAAACCTGACACGAAACGGTGTTCCAACAGCAAGACCACCGCCGCGCTGCGCGTGAATAGTATTGTGGAGCGCCTCCAGCCATACCGAGGGCCAGGGCATAGGATTGTAGAAACTCCAGTCTAGCCGCGGTCATGGAACATCGTGCTTGACATTCTGCATGTGTCGCTCAAGCTGGTCCTTCCTGGCAAACCCGTCCTTGTTAGGGCAGCCGGGCTTCATACATTTATATGGCTTTTTATGTTTGTCCATGTGTTGTCTGCGGAACGAGTCAGTGAGCTGGATAGTGACGAAACAATAGGCCAGAGTGCGACGACTGACCGAAACATGCAGTTGCGCTCAAAAATAACTAACTGGCCATGCATATCCACTCCACCTTTGGTGCAGCTCATGCCGTATTTACAGGTGTAGGTGCCCTTGCCCCTATTTCGAAGGGCATCCATGTCCGGGTCTGCGAGGGCGTCGTTGTCTGCACCTGACTCAGACCTTTCTGAAGGGCGCGAGTAATTTTGATCAGATGCCGGCGAGGGTTTGTCGATCCTCGCAGGCTCGGCCAGTACTGGTTGGTGGCCCTCGAGCCTGGGATCCCGTGACGGGTCATGGACCGACTGGCCGCCGCTGGACCTTGAGAAGGTTGAACTGGGGCTGGGAATGTGCTCCGAGACGGACACGGACATGGACACGGGTCGGGCGTGGCCAGCCGAAGGGTGGAGTACGGGTGGTCTTTGCCACGCCTGGCTGAAGCCGTCGACGGTACTTTTCAAAGTAGATTGCATATCTCTATCGCGAGTCAGAAACTGCATCGGGCAACAAGGACTAAACTTGACGTCTGGCGAGTGAACCCACTTCAAGATCCGATGAGACGCGTCGACGTCTTGCAAGCTCATGGCGAGGGTGTATCTTCTCGCCGTCCTATCTTCGACCATGGCGCCGTACGCTCTTTGTTTAATTCGCCGGTCGTCGACAATCTCATCGGCAATTTGCGACACCATGGACAATAGATGAATAATGATGTCACCGAGATCTGCGACAAGACCGGCGTCGGTGTGCTCCTGTCGCGTTGGGAGAGTAGCCAGGGCAAGCTCGAAGCGCCTTTCAATGAGTTGTCTGAAGAACTCAGGCGAATCGTCGGATGACTGCGGTTGCATGAGGGCGTAGACAGACATGCCCGCGCTACGGGGCGATTGAGACAGCATGGTGAGAGGCGCGGGCGCTCAGGAAGAGGCCGCGCTGAGGAGTGTCGTACTGACGGGACGTTGGGCCAGTTGGGCAGATGGGCGTGCGCCGGAGTCGAGATGACGTGAACGGTTGCGGCGAAGGTAATGAGATGCCGGGGACTCCAGCGTACCGCGCTGGCCACGAGCGGTTGGATACTGCTATTTCAGTCGTGCGCGTTGAATCCACAGTCGCTGTTCAGGTAAGTTGGGCCGAGTAAAGGGTGAAGATCAGTCAGGCTTGGGTCCTGGACAGGTCTGGTGGTGCAACCCGGAGAGGCAGGCGGGCAGTAGGCACATAGGCATTTACTGGCCCTACCTAGGTGCCTACAGAAAGTACTGGCTGGCGATGGGCGACTGGTCGACAGGTCGACAGGATGGACAACACAGTCAGCTTTCTACTGGGCACCCAAGGCAGGCAAGGTAGGTAGGCAAGGTAGGGAAGGTACCTTCCTACCGCAAAAGGCGAGGCACGGCGAGGCAGGCAAGGAAGGGCAAGGAAGGGGCAGGCGGCATGGCATGGCATGGCATGGCATGGCATGGCGTGGCACGGCACGGCATGGCAGTGGCAGCGGCGGCAACAGCGCGGCAGCAGCAGCAGCAGCAAGCAAGCAAGCAAGCAAACACCCTTCACAAGAGGCAGGCGGGATTGGCGCGTTCAGGAAGGTGCAGTGCAGTCGGTGGCCGTGAAGGGGCCGCACCACTCACGTGTTGAATCGTCTTATAGGCTTCTGGCGTCCGGTGTGGCGTTTTTATCATGAAATGGCCGTTCGCGTGTGGGATGCCATGGATGGTGCCCGCACAGGCGCCCCTGACCGCGAGGGAGAAGAAAGGAGCAAGTTGCTTCTTCGAGCCAGCTCTCCTATCCGTTGGCCAACCTTCCCAAACTCAACACCACAACCAGCCCGCTGCATTGCGCTCAAGCCACTATCGCCACGCATGAACAGAGCCTTGGCCTGTTGACTTTTTCGTTTTCCACTCGAGTGCGTAGCTTGACACCTATGCATTCCACAGCGCTTACTTCTCCAAGGTAGGTGGGTACTCATCAAATGCGCAGCTCAACACCTCAGGTAAGGCATCATCTTTACCTGCCTGCCAACCTGCTCACCTACTTACCAGAGCATACCTGACTGGCGGTGGCGTAACTTTTGGCGAGGGAGTGTAATGTAAGGCAATGGCAGCAGGGGATGGAGGCCCGCAAGTTGACATTCGCCAGAGTCTAGATCACGTCGTCTCAGTCAAAGTGGTCGAGAGCTGAGGGCAACCGTCATCTGACAATAAGCAAGACGACCCTTGCCCCTGGCCAGCGGGGCATTGGAGCGGCCCCCATACTGTAGGGCGACTCGCAGCCTCAAGACCTCGACGATGACCATTGACCTCCATCGACCGCTGTCTAGTGACGACGCCCATCACCTCTGCTGTCTCGTCACACACACGGACCGGGGAGGTTTCGGCAAAGGCTCTCAATGGTGGGCATGCTAACCGATTGCAACCCCTCTCTGTATGTATCAGTGTGCTGGCCAACGAATCGGGGCGAAGACACGGATGCGAGTGCAGGCGTGCAAAGATGCGGGCCATCGAAGGCCAAAGACCAGGATCATCGATTTCCGAGACGGCCGGAACATCGATTTCCTACTTCTTCATTAGTCGTGCTACTGTCGGTACCCGTGCCGCGTCTTCGTTGTTGAGTTGTACAGGCAGGCCCAGGATGGATGGCAGACTAGGGTCAATGCCCGAAGGGGGTGCTGTGCAGCCTGATTGCTCTTTCACCTTCGAAAAGGAAGCAAAGACGCGAGCCTGTTCGATCGACAGGCGGTGGGGGTCATCACGTACATTGGATAGTCGATGCATGTGGCCAAACGCCGAAGCCCCTGTCATCGGCTCAGGGCTTGCAAGTTTGCATGTTTGCTCTGTGCCCCTTGACCTATCTTGCATCGTCTCCTCATGTCGACAGTTCGCGTGGGGAACGGATGGCACGCGAAGGTGTCAGAGCGTGCCGTGGTCGTATGCAGTCCGGAGGCGACGGAATGAAACAGCATTGTGGCAGAGACATGTTAGTCGGGTAGCTTCAGTGATCTGCATCTATTAAGACGTGCGGATCGATGCACTTCCATAGGAGGCAGACGGGTACCTTGAGGAGGTAGGTATGGCAAATGCTAAAAATGGGGTGATGGGACCCTCTCCCGCTTGCCAGGTGGCAGGTCAGAGACGGTTCACAGCGAACGAACGGAAACAGTCCATGCTGTCCGTGGTGTCCGCTTGCCGTGTGCTGAATTGATGATAGTCACAACCAGTTGAGAGAAACTCACCTTACCTTTCTTCTTCCACATCTGTCTCTCTGCGCGTCCTCATTAACCTTCCTCGGCGACCAAGGCGCAACGCCCGGTTAGCGTGGAAACTGTTTGACTCGAACCTGCTAAGCTCTCGGGCCACACGGCCGCGTCCGTTGTCACAACTCACTGCACGACACTGGCGGCGGCTTCCTTACTGCCACGCAGCCCACCGTAGCTGCCCTTGCTACCATACCTCCTTGGCTGCCGACTTCCCCGATTCCAAAGCCGCCCGCACACCCACGCCAGCCCCCGGGCCCAGATCCCCCTCCCCCCTCTTGCCTTGAGCATCCTGCAGGGCGTGCGTTCAGCCCGCAACTCCCGACTCCACTTCCACTTCCACTTCCACTCACCTTCCCGGAGTACGGGCGTGTGCAGCAGCTTCCTGTGCTTCACTTGGTGGTTACTGCCTACCTAAGGTCAGGTACCTTACGTTGAGCTCCTTCTCGGCCAGAACCCACCGTCCGTCACTTCCCAGGTACCTACTTCTCCTCACGTCACTCTCGGTTGCCTCCAGCGAAGGCGCCCAAGTACGAATACGCCGACCTTGCACCGCGCTGTTCGTTGTCTCAGCTCGTAACCAGGGTTGGCTCCAAGCTCTCCACCACTTGCACCTCACATCGCATTCTCACTCTTACGTCCGCCGGACAGGAGCAAGTTGGCCGCCAATCCCTCCTGTTCGTAATTCCATCTGACCCTGCCTTTTTATCATTATCCTCTTAGATACTCGTTATTTTCCCCCCATCCACTGTTGTCCCTTCGTGCCCCCCCCCCCCCCCCTTGCGTCTCGCCCGGCCATTTTGAAGCCCAGATATGAGCCGTAGTTGGGCCTGATGGTCGCTCCTCCGCCAAAGCGGGCTAAACGTTCGCATCAAGCCAACCCTCATCCTCATGCCTCCGCTCACCAGCACGCCCATCGGCCACCCGCTCTTCCTCAGTTGAACCTTCGCCCTCCCTTGCAACGTCCAAGCGAGGTCCCGAGCTGTGGCGATTCCGACTCGTCATCATCCTTGCACCGTCATGGACTTGGTACCGACATCAGCCTTGACTCGGAGGACTCACGAGATTTCGATACCTTCTTTCCCGCCTTCGACGACTTCCAAGCTTCTGACTCAGTCTTTTGGCAGGCCCCAGCCGCAGCTACATGCCCCAGCGAGGCGTCCCAGATAGTTGGGTCGGTGCCTCATCCCGCCTTTTCTGGAGCATCTCTTCCTGAGCCGCTCTCTCTTGTCAGCCATGTGCCGTTTGGTCGCTTTGCCCGTAGGTGCACGTCATCCTGCCCGTCAACAAGCCCTGTTCCCTGTTTCCTCTTGGCCCATCCTCTCAGTGATCACTGCACAAGCAATATCCTTGAACAAACCCGAGTCCCGAGTCTCAACACTGACATCGTTCAGATCGCCCTGCGTCTCACCCTTGGATCGCGACCAACGGCTCGTCCATTCAGTTTGGGGACCCTGTACGAAAGGCGGTCCTTCCGGCAGCCCTCGAAGGAGTCGTTGCCTTTGAGTCCAGTCTGCCATCTAAAGACGTGCGTCGGGCCACCCGAGATTTGTTGAATCCTTTCCAGGATAATGCTGTCGAGAGAATCCCAGCCTTGAGCAGACCGCGCACCCTAGAAAATGGCGAGGTCAACGGATACATCAAGTGTCGCTTCCACGGCATGCGGCTTCGTTCTCCCCCTCGGGCTCTGTCCACTCGGACCAGCAACGGTGCTCGCCAGGCGTTACAAGGCCGCCCAAGCCTTCATCGACGCGGGCTCGGGCCGGCATGCCAACCACGACTTCCCACCGTGGCGCCGCATGCTTTGGCAAAGCCCACCCCTAAACCATATGCACCAACAACATGCAAACCAGTGCTTCGTACCGATGCAGTAGATCCGCCACCCTTGTTTGAGGAGCACATTCAACGACTACCCCACGACTTTGGCCAAGACTTGAAATTGAGCCCGGCCGACTGGCAATTTTTCGTCTTTTGTAAGTCTTGACATATTACACCAAGCTCGGGAAACCAGGTCTAAGAGTAGTTCAGATCGCAATGCGTGGTGTTCCGGGAGAGCAATTTTGGATGCCACCAATTGCTGGCTCGTCAATATTATCCAGATGGCTCCCAGAAGCCAGGCTGTGCTTCACGCCATGTTAGCACTTGCCGGAACCTACGTCCTCGACTACTTACCTGATGAGCGTGTGAGACAACGGTCCAATGCACATTACAATGCTGCCGTAGGACTCCTGACAAAAGATTTGCGTGAAGAGGCAGAGCAAAGACCCGGCGGCGGCGAGAGCATAGTCGCAGCCATCGCTCTGCTGAACATGCTAGACGTCGTATCGCCTGAACGTCGGCGCTCCAAAAAGGAGGTTCCCAGATGGCTGGAAGGCGCCCAGGTTGCATGCAAGGTACTTGATGTTACTGACCCCGGTCACCGATACTGGCACATCAACAACGTGCAGCCCTCAGATGCCCGAGTCGCCAACACTGTCATCACCAGTCGAGCGGTAGTCCTTGCCCTCCCCATGACGCGCTTGAATAAGGCTAGCTCGGACAGCACGCACTTCCAGTGGCTCCTTCTGCAAAGCACGGAGGAGAACAGCCGCAAGATTCACGGGGCTTGCGGCTGTGCGCCTCGGCTTCTGCATAGGTTTGCCCTCATCACTC